GTGTGAGAAGGGCGTGGCCTGGGAGATGGGTAGTGTACGGTGGGCGGGGCCAGGAGATGGAGTGGTGTCGGGTGGGCGGGGCTGGGGTGGGTGGTGTAAGGTGGGGCCTGGGCGATGGGTGGTGTAGGTGGGCGGGGCCTGGGAGATGGGTGGTGCAGGGGTGGGCAGGGCCTTGGAGATGGGTGGTGCCGTGGGCGTGGCATGGGAGATGGGTGGTGCAGGGGTGGGCGTGACCTGGGGAGATGGGTGGCGGGTGTGGGTGGGCGGGGCCTGGGCGATGGGTGGTGTAAGGTGGGCAGGGCCTTGGAGATGGAGTAGTGCAGGGGTGGGCGTGGCATGGGAGATGGGTGGTGCGGGGTGGGCGGGGCCTGGGGAGATGGGTGGTGCAGGGGTGGGCGGGGCCTGGGAGATGGGTGGTGGAGTGGGCAGGGCCTGGGAGGTGAGTGGTGTAAGGTGGGCAGGGCCTGGGAGATGGGTGGTGCAGGGTGGGCGTGACCTGGGAGATGGGTTGGAGATGGGTGGTGCAGGGTGGGCGTGACCTGGGGAGATGGGTGGTGTAAGGTGGGCGGGGCCTGGGAGATGGGTGGGCAGGGCCTTGCTTGCACCGCCTGCAGGAGGTGATGGGCATGCCACCACTAAACAACTATCTAGTAATTACCTCACTGTTCTTCTCCCTCCCGCAACCACCCCTCTGCCTACACCCCCTCTGCCACTACACCCTCCTTGCCCTACACCCCACTCTGTAACTACACCCTCCTTGCCACTACACCCCTCTGTAACTACACCCTCCTTGCCCTACACCCCACTCTGTAACTACACCCCCCTTTTACCCTCCCTCTTAATACACCCTCCCCTACCACTACACCCTCCCTCACCACTACACACCCACTACACCCTCCCTACTACACCCCTCTGTGCTTCATCCCACTGCCACTACCCTCCTTGCCACACACCCTCCCTGCCACTACACCCTCCCTGTCACTACACCCACTCACTACACCCTCCCTGCCACTACACCCTCCCTGTCACTACACCCACTCACTACACCCTCCCTGCCACTACACCCACCACGGCTCCAGAATTAAGCTGTATTATCTCGTGATGTCTAGGCAGTAAATATTGATTTTTTCCTGATCGTTGCTGCCACTTAGTTTTTATATTCTTCCCTTCATGAGGCGAGTGGGAGGCACCTTCAGTAACCACGCCCACGGGCATTTGGTGATGTTAGTCTCCGCCTTTTATGACTTGAGTGAAAGTTATTTTTGCGAGTGAGGGATTCTTTCCGGCACAGCTTAGTCTCTGTTCATGATGCTGGTGCTCCTGGCGGCATCTCAGATAGGCTCCACTCCTAATAGGCTCTAATCTAGCCATTAGGATTGGAGCCCGTTACGACTAGGATTTAATCTTTATGGTGAGATTAGATTAAGTTAGGAGGTTTAAGGGGTCCATGTGAGTACGTACAGTTAGGTTAGCACGCCAAGGCCTCGAAGTTTAGTTTCCTACAGTATTGTCGCTTAAGGAACACCAGTCTTCTTTAAATCGTTTATAATTTACTAGTGATTGTTTACCTCAGTTAATTGTCATTATATTAGAGACAGACTTTAATATAGAGCTGAAGACTATGTGAGCATTTGCGTAATTAGGTTAGCTTAATGTTGAATGAAATTGTCACAGAAATTTGTGTTTATTAAATTTTTCGTTTGTTTTAGTGAAACTGAATTTTGGGGGGGCCACCAAAATCGTATATGTATATGGAATTAGAGATGATTTGAAAAACATATGAAGTTGAACCATATTGCGTGTGAAGTATACATAACTGCGTGGGTAGTTTTTTGCTCGACCTGATATAAGCACAAGTGTATCTTTAGTGATGAAATCGTAGCTAACCTGCTGACAGAATATATTATCAAGGTCACTGGTAACCACGGAGTATACTGTATACATTTCAGGAAATACGTGGATAATCAGCTTCAACTTTCGTACATCCGTTTATGATATAGTTTCTCGACTTCAATGTTCGAACTGCAGTACCGTAGAAGTACTATAGATGAGTTATTGAAATAACTGGCATATTCCATTAGGCATCACATAAGCATTCGTTTTATATCTATAGTTGACTGTTGGGATGTTAAACAGGATTTTTTCTAAGGGCGATTTTTTTAAATTGATACGATATTCGTAATAATCTTGAAGGAATTGGTTGGTATTACGGGACATATTATTAGAACTAGATATTGTCGCGTCCTATGTCCAAAAATATTCCTCTTTGGAAACTTGTATCGTAGAGTTCTTTTAAAATATTTTAGCACGATTTTTATTCCCCTGATAGTAATGAGAGTAACTTATATAAATTATTATTTGGAAATATTTCTTCTTTTTTTTAGACTTTTTTTACCAACATGATTTCGAGAATTAAAGGTTAAATCCGATTGTAAGGTAAACAAACATACATTGCCGTTATTTACCCAGGTAGTGTTGTTTCTGTGATGTAATAGGATAAATAAGTATAGATATAGGAATAGTAATTGTATTGTGGTTCAGTTTGCTCGAGACTCAACAGGATAATGATGGAGGTGGTAGGAAGATGAGACAATTGACCGCCGACACCTACGTACATTTTTACGTACCGTGAATTTATGTTAAACTGGAATATGAACTACTAAAGCTGAATACAAACAAAATACTTCAGTCATGTATTGTAAAAATTTTAATAGTAAATTTTTTAAAAAGTTTCGTGGGAATTTCCTTGTAATATTTGTATTTTAGATATTGGATGGTAAAATTCTCGCCAAGTTGGTTCTAGCCAGTTTACTTGAATGCAGTGGATCCTGTGTCGTAAAATAATCACAAGAGCTGATATACAGCCAATTTCCATGAAAAGTCGAACATAGTCACTTGTTAAGTTGTAAAATACCCAATTGAGGAAATTTATAGATCGTGTTATGTAAATATTCATCCATATACAGGTAGCTAGTAACCAATACAGTTTCCCTTATAATTCACTATTTATATAACGTCTTCAGCCAAGTTTGTATAAATTAGCATATGAAACTAATTAGTTATTGCTGAGTTAGCAACTGTTGTTGATTTAATATGCCTGAAGAAACTTATGCTATTCTTAGCTTAGTATGTTCGCGTGCATGTAACTTGCAGATAGAAGCTGTTTCTCTTTTCTGAGTCATATATATATATATATATATATATATATATATTGTAAACTGTACAGAGTTTTTTGTGCGTCTTCGTAGTACAGTTCAGAAAAACATAAATGTTCGTACTAAAATTGTCTCTTTATTAAGTAATAATAGATTGGGAAACTGAATCGTGAATTTTATTCATGGATGCAATTACGGTTCCAGCGCTCATGAATATGCAATTTTTCGCTTTTTTCTAAATGTGAGAAGAAAATATATAACATTTTGACAGAAAATTTTTACTGTATGTTCATTATACATTAATGCATAGTTATGAACTAAACCATGACAACACGGTCCATTAGTCACAGCTGCAACGGTAACGGAAGTTTCCCAGACGATATAAAAAATTTAATATATTTTACAAAGTTCTCATTATCTTGAACACGGACTATCCTATCAAAATGAGGATAACACGAGTCCATTATCGTGTAGCTTGAGTTTAGTTAATAAAGAGAACATATGGCGTGCTTCATAACCATCACCCCCGAGCATCTAACACGAGAAGTTGGCAGTGCGGGATGAAGAGCTGTGCACCGCAACACGCACCAATCTCACATACACACTTATCTGATTAATTCAGATGATGTTACAGTGCACTTGAATTTGTTCTGTAACGAATGGAACTGTTGAGTGAATGACATGGAAACAGGATGCTAGGTGCACTGTATGTGAAATGCTGATACGATACAAGAAATGTATACAATAAATTATCCAGTGTGACAAACAAAAACAGACCTGGAAACGCATAGACTGGAAATGAATAAGAACACAGGAAGAAGAGCAGATGTGTAGGCAGGCATACAGACAATCAGGCACACAGGAAGGCCAAACTTGGCTTGGGGCCACCACTGCTTGGCTCCCATGACTCCGGTTAGGCTAGGCTCGGCTCGTAGCCCCACAACTGCTGCTGCCTGTGCACGAGCCCCCGGATAGTAGGTCTTGTTCTCGTTGTGCCAATCACTGATGCCTTTATGTCACTGTTAGAGGAGAACTGAAGTGTTATGTCTGTAGAGAGATGAAGTGTTATGTCTACATAGATGAAGTGTTAAGTCTATGTAGGGAGAACTGAAGTGTTATAGCTATGTAAGGAGAACTGAATTTTATGTCTAGGGAGAAATGATTTTTTATTTATTTTTTTATCTATAGGGAGAACTGAAGTGTTAATGTCTATTTAAGGGGAGAACTGGAGTGTTATAGTAGTCTGGTAAGGGAGGAACTAGCTGGGCGAGAATTTAGTGCTTGTTAACAGTAAGAGAAAAGACTTTGTACGTTGACGCGCTGGCATGAATTCCTCTCCGTTTAGTGTGTTGGACTTTGTTTGTGTTTTCTGGAATTACAGTACTTGGAGTTTCAGCTTCATTAGAAAGGCTTGTTGTGGTTGCTTGGGGTGCCTAAGTTTACACCGTTCACTAGGACACAGGACTTGTGTTTACACTTTGATGACTAAATTAACTGACATTACTCGCTCGGATCAAAGGTATATTGATGTGAATGGGGAAATCAAAGTGACTTGAAATGATAATGCTTGGAACTGTTGAACGTATTCCTGGTGGTTGACAGAGCAGCACATTTGTAGCTCACATGTGTCTTTTGAGGACGGCTAGACTATTGTTGGTTTGTTGGTGATTTTCTCTTCCATAATTCTTATTCATATATCATTAACAGTTTTATCAACTACGTGTGTTAAGAGGTGAAGTGAGTTTTTGCTTGTGACTGTTTCCTTTTGCTCTTGGATTTCTCTCTCATTATGATGTATGTTGGAGGGGTGAGCTACAGTGACTCATGTGACATATGTTGTTGCAGGCAGGGTGAGAGTGCTGGAGTGCCTGGCGCCCTGGCTGTGCATTAGCGCGGCTCGCCCGGTGGGCTCCGTGGGGTCGGGGGCTGCGCGCCACAACCAGCAGGAGGGACAGCAGCAGCAACAGCAGCCAGGGGAGCCCGCAGCTGGCTGGCTCCGCGACACCAGGACCACGCCCCCCGACAGATCCCGCCCACACTCGGCCCCAGTGCCGATCACCACCACAATGGTCAAGACCTTCCAGGTGAGACATGTAACTTGTGGTCTGATGGCTTTTTATAGTGAAATTGTGTCATCGTTATCAGTAATTTGGCGGTAACAGTGCAGAATGATAAGGCGTTACACATATTTTTGCTATTAATAAGTGATGGTGATAATCCAGAACTGTCATCTACCAGCAAGTGATAATAGAAATGATTGTGTACATCGGTAAGTGATTGTGATAGAAATAAGCATCTTTGCCAGCAATTGATGATGATGATCCGGAATTATCGTCCAGTAAGCGATGATAATTCTTATCATCTTACCAGTAAGGGGTGGTGATAATCAGGAATAATCATCTGTGCCAGTAAGTGGTGATAATCAAGTATTATCATCCATGATTAATAATTTTCCTCTACCAGTAAATATAGTGATAGTGGGAACTGGGAATTTATGGTGATAGAAATGATCAACAATATCGGTAAGTAATGGTGATAACCAAGAAGTGTCATCGAACGGTAAGTTTTGGTGATAGTCAGTAAAGTGACTTGTGTCGGTTTTAAGTGATCAAGTTAATTTTTTCTCCATAGGCTTACCTGCCGTCGTGCCATCGTACCTACTCGTGCATCCACTGTCGGGCGCACCTGGCCAACCACGACGAGCTCATATCCAAGGTTAGGTGTACTAATGCTGCGTATTTAGTTACCCACCATCACCACCACCACTATCCTGCAACCACTACTGAAACACATTATTTCGTCGTATTAACACTAGTAAACCTAATAACTGTCACCAAGACCCACTTTCCCTTATAAACACCAATAAAACCACTAACTGTCGTATTAACACTCACAAAATCCACTAATACCGTCCTTTATACAACCACCATTGACACCTCTCCACAACCACCAACCACCACGCCACTTCAACACTCCACTCACCTCCCTCATGAAAACTTAACTCCTAATGTTATACCATCACAGGGAACTTGTATTCGAAACATTGTAAACTACAGTTCTGTTTTTGGACATAATTCAGATCCCATTAGAGGGAACTGTCAATCGCGCTGTGATAGTGTGGATATAATGGTGTGTCGTAGTTTCAATAGCCATATCTCTCGTAAGAAGCCTAGTGCAGCATTCTGTGTCAGTAAAGAGACTTTTTCTACGTGCCAAGTAGGAGTATCGAATGCCATTTCATGTAAAGATTTGTATTTGTGAAACATTTCCTTGTGAAAGATTTCCACGGTACATCAGTGTTGTTTGTTTGCCTTCACATTCTACGCAGTTTGTTAATTCCAAGCACACATAACCTTCATTTGAGGCCTTAATAATGCCTCGTAGAAGTGGGGAACAAACCAGAAATTGTTACAGAGTGTAAATGCACCATAACTATGTGCTTTGGGAACAAAGTGAACCGAGAGTTAAAAGTAAGGAAGCCAGACAGTTATTTGCGAGTTTTTTTCATGAAAGACGTGACGTATATAATGATAGTCGTGTGTCTGGCAGGGCAGTGGCAGCCAGCGTCGCCATGGATACAGAGCTCATACTGCAACTTCCAATGCCAGAAGGTCATTTTACACGTGTTTGATTGTAAACTTGAACACCATTGTTCTCAAAAGCAAAATTGTCTGTCTTATTTTGATAGATAAATAGTAACGACGCAACCGCGGTGCCAAATAATTGTGGCATTTTGTTTTTAGACATTTCTAATAAACTTAGAATATTTAATCAATGGACACCAAATGTATTACGATATTTATATTTTGATGATCAGAAAGAGATCGCCCTAGTGACGTCTCTTACTGAACACAACACACTCAATTTAATTTGTCTTCGGCAGAGTAAATCGTGGTGACTAAATTGTTCTTTAAGTTTGAGATTTTCTAAAACTAGGAATGTCAGAGTTGAAAAGTAGGTCAAGTGGTTCCCAGTAGTGCTGGGTCTCGACGTAACCAAACTAACCCATTAAGACTAGGGATCATGAAGACTGGGATCCTTTAGGACGGCTCCAATCCTGATGGTTAAGTTAGGGTGGGGCTTATTTAAACTGTCAATTAAGAGGTACCGAAAGAAGGGATATTTACAGTACAGTATCATGTTATCTTTGCATACAAACAGGGTGCATGTACATACTGCACAAGCTTAATACAAAGGTGTCAGTTGAACAGTAAAAACAATTAATTGTTTGTGTGAGCCGACTCTCACACCCTCTCTCACTACATCCTCACTTGCCCTATGACCTCCTCCTATAGGTCCCCAGCCGTTACCAACACCTCTTCCCTCCCAGACCAGATATCCCTCCTCCTAGTCACAGGCCTGGCATTTGACATTATTAGGGACCTGCCACTCTTTGCCATAAACAGATAAAATGTACCGGGAACTTTCCCCCCACACACTCATCATTCTCTCACTTAATGTAACTTGACAGAACCTATGACCCTTCAGGCTTTTACGCCCTTAATGTACGAGTCATAAAGGCAAGTATGAACTTTTCATGCTTCCCTGTTGGGCGCTGTAAACGCTTCTGCGCTTCACCTTGCACAGGATGTAAGGGGGTGCCCAATAAACTAGCCCCCTCGGGGGCAAATCTGAATCTGAATCTGTTTGTGTGAGTTGGGGTGAGATGCTTTAATACGTTAGGCCATCAATGATTGTGTCGGAAAGTGATATTCTAGATTGTTAAAGGGAGGAATAACATGGTAGAGAGAATAGATAGTATAATTGGCTATAAAGAGAAAATTTGAAAAAAAAATGGTTGAACCCAGAACTCCATTTTATGGCTTAGTATGAATCTGAAACCAGGCATCTTGTGAATTAAAGCCATGAGTCCTGGGATATACACCCTCGTTTAACTCTGAGAAATTAATAGTTAAATTCCAAAAGGAGTCTTCAGAAGCAATACAGTACAGTAATTAATAATTAAAAGTAGAAAGCATTGATATTTGACTTTGGTCTGGCTCAGCTAAAGTGATGTCAGGCGTGAAGCTCTTCTGTTCCTCATGACTTCTTCACTACCCAGTCGGGGGAGGGAGGGAGGGTGTCTGTGTCGTCTAAGTGACTTGTGAATTCTGGAGCGAACTAGAAGTAGGCTGATGGTGGCTGCAAGTGTTAACCTTCAGCCCCAAGACAGTGGCGGATCCAGGAACATCAAAAGGGGAGTCCAAGAAGTTGTGGGGGGGTGGGGGGACATGGCAGAGCACAGCGAGCCCACCCGGTTGGGGAGCTTTGGGGAGGAGGAACTAGCTGTTAGCCTCCCCACATAATTTTTTTTTAAATCTGGCCAATATCATAGGCGTTTTAAGGTCCTTTTGAAGCCATGTGCACTTGATATTAACAGATGCACACTGTATTCTGCGGTAAATATAAATTACTTTTTACTATACAAAAAACGCCTGAGTACAATACTGCATTAAAGAAAAATAATTTAATTTTCTGATGAAAAGGGGAGTCTGGACCCCCAGGACACCCCTGGATCCGCCTTTGCAAGAGAAGAACCTTAAACTGAGAACCACCCATCCTCCCCCCCCCCCCAAATTGATCAGTCTGTTAGCTGCTTGGGCGGTTGTTCATGTCTCTTTTAGGCACTGTTGGCAAATACTGGGCATGTACTGGCTCTAGAATTTATCTGAAACTGTGCCAGTGTTGGTCAAATCTGATCTTGAATGAGCTCACTTCCAGTACAAAGCAACATGTCAGAGTACAGAACTGTACTGTACAGTATTGCTTACAATTATGGAGGTAAACCCAGTTAACCCTGATGAGGAATATGTTCATTCTCTATATGTCCAAAATACAGTACTGTAATAGGACAGCCTCAGAGTTGGGGGGATATGGACTATGACCTAGTTTCTGAAACACATTCTCCAAAAATTCTTATAAGCAAAGTCTCGTAAGATCACCAACTTCCTTTGCTCCGGAATATATTTTCAGTCTTGGGAGTCTTTTGCCATAATCCTTTTGTATTATTCTAGATGCACAACTGTCTTGGTATTATATTACAGAATTCTTAAAAGTGGAGTTTCCTCCTACAATAGTTTTACCGTCAACTCGGAAAAGAGTAAATCTCCGAACTTATCTCTAGACTTCCTCATGAACTGAAGAAAAAAGATGGTTTATGGGAGGGATCAATCTTTATTTTTTTACCAGTTTGGAACCATATTACTTCTTGGGGATGATAAGAAAACTGCTCTAGATGATATCACCTGAAATTAACTTAACAGTATGTTTTTATTCAGGTGATTATTTCATTTTACTTAAAAAGAAGATACTGCACAAAATGATCCATGCAAGGAGAAACCAAGTGACTTAGCATACACCATGAATTTCTTGACTATCTGAAAATTACACACCATTAATACCTCCCATACAATACTTATAAACAAATATACAATATTTTTAAGGGTGTTGTTGTTTTATGTAATGAGGGAATTAAATCAACCTTTCAATATCTCCTGGGTTGCATAATCTTGGATGAATAGCGTTGGTTCTGCTTCACATGTGGAAGACCCACTTTGTGGAAGCAAACATGATAGAGGTTGTACAGTACAGTATTCCAAATTTAAGGGTAATACTGTAGGTCAAAATCAGATTGTTACTCATTGGAGAAACAACCCAGCCCAGCCAATTAGCAAACACTTTGAAGCATTTCCATGTTTAAAATTATAACATAGGAAAGTACACAATACAGTACTGTACTTTACCTCTCCAAAGGAGATACACTCTGTACAGACTTCCAGTAATACTATTTCAGCACATGCCAGTGAAATTTTCGTAAGCACCTCAATCCAGAGTCAACTGCCAGTTCAAAAATATAAAGTAACAAAAGGTTTAGATTTCTCGGATTTCTCCTTGTCCTGGCATGGGGAATGTTTGTGGGTTTAATAACCCTTCAGTGTGATTTAAACAAAGATAAAAACCTCACATGAGCCTGTGAACACCAAGAACTGTATGGACTAGTGCCAGATTTCATTAGTACAACTACTGTATTCAGAGCAGAACATTTTTTTCAGTATTCCAATTGGTGAGTGAGAACCAGTTACTTGTATCTACATCAAACTAGATTGCATGGAGTATAGTGTGACTAAAGACCTTGATTCTTGACAACCCCACTAGGGCTGAACCAGACTGCTGATGTGTTCATGACTTGTTGCTTCATACTTTGAATGGTGAATTGTTGCTTCCAATGATCCCTTTTGGGATTTGCTGTGATGGGATGGATATTTACTTTTACTTTTATCCTCTTCACCACTGATCGGCTCGATAGCCGCTTGGGCGATCTGTCACATCTGTTACTTTTCCTTTTCTTTTATCCTCTTCACCAAATGATCGACTCGTTAGCCGCTTGGGCGATCGGTCACGTCTCTGTTACGCACTGTTGGCAAGTACTGGGCATGCACCGGCTTCTGAATGTACCTGAACCTGCTCCAGTGTTGGTCAAGTCTTGTCTTGAAAGAGCTCACACTTGGTGCCGTCACAACACTTTCTGGTATAATTCATGAATTAATCCCATTATATGATGTAAGAAATAGATGATTATTATTTGTTTATACTGTATGTATATATGTCCCTCATTTAATGTAACATATTTTTGTAACAACTTTACTCTTATATTGTCTTTATTATTCTTTATGTTTATTTAATTATTTACTTATTCTTACTTATTTCTTTTACTTATACTCGTGAGAGGTGGAGAGAGTAAGGGAGGTAGTGAGAAGGTAATCGTTTACGTTTGAGGAGGGGAGTACAGGACTAACAGTTTGTGGTTAGGCTAGAAAGGCCTACACCAAGGGGAGACTCAGCCGGGAGGCTGGTTAAGGGGGACTAAGATATCAATACTTCACAGAGGGGAAATATATGATAGTTATTATACATATATATATGACTCACCGTATTACTGCATAATACCAAGACATCTATAACACATCACTCTTTCTCAATAAGGGGGGGGGGGGTGAATTAGGACTCTTATTAACGGTTACTGTATTTATTGAATACTTTATATTAGGGTTTGACAGTTAAACTTCAAAATAATAAACCTATGTTCCTAGCGAGTTAAACGGGGACCACGTATCTCACAACAAATGGGAACTTAAGGATTTACCAAATAGAATACACCCAAATACCTGCCATGTGGCCACCACAGACGTCACACACCTCCCTATACAAAATTCCAACACAGACTGCAATTCAAACCGAGTGAACCCACAAGGAACGCCAAAACTTCCATGACGTCATACCTCATAGGCTTTCTCATTGGTCAAAGACAGGCCTAAGGCCTTCATACTGTTGGCTTAAAATTGGCGGGAATTCTCAAGTGGCGGGAAACTCATGACATTGTTACTATGATGTCATAAGAGTTAAACCTGTTGCAATGATGTCATAAGAGTTAAACCTGGAATAGTCTTTTTTACTATAATTCATGTCACCAAGTGAAGGCCATAAAAAAGAATTTATGCTGAATCCAGTGCTAAGTGAAGATGTGTGGCCTTGAACTATTAAAAAAAAAAGAAGGAAAGAATTAGTAAAAGTTGTGGTCTAAATAATTTGATAACAGGATTAACAAGATCTTGGAGAGCAGCTTTCACTTTTGGGAAATAAAAAAGCATATTAAATAAGGAGTCTTTGTGTGGAGTGATGTGATATTATACAATGTTGGTATAATACATCATACTAAAGGGTGAAAGTTGCAATTTTTTTTGGCTTATATGGTAGTTTTTCTCTTTTATGAGTACAGTATTGGAGAATAGATTAGATACTGTACTGATGAATGCTGTTGAAAATATACATGTACCTGTACAGTATTTTTAAGTGAAGAGTTCCTTGTCTTATTGTAAATGGTGATTGGAATAGTGAAGCATGAGTATGGAAACTTATGAATGGGATAATGAGAATGGATGAATATGCATGTTGGTTATGACTAAAGCATATACATATTAGTGTCATGGAGAGAAGTAATTCCAGAGTGTGATTCATAAAAGTAGTTTAATTTGTCTCAGAATGAACTAGGTATACAATGCTTACTTGAGGAACTGAGTTAGAGGAGGGTGATAAAGGAGTAGGTGAGGTAGAGTAGGAGGATATTAAAGCCATTATATTTGAGTAAGGTTAAAAAAAATATCTTATGATCATAATGTTCCTGTCAGTTTATATATGGATATTCATGAGCCTTTGGATAATTATATACAGCACTATAATCTGCCTCATACATGTGGGAACTATGATACTGATAACATGAGTACACTAGATTATATTTCTTGTGGCAGTGATTTAACAAAGGACGGATTTATGCATTTCCTGAAGAATGTCTTCTTTTGTTTGTAATTATGATAAATATTGATACAAGTGGTAGTTACAGAAATCCCTTAGAAATTACTTAAACCTCTTACACCCTGTACTAACATTATTTCTTTTTTTTTCAGTCATTTCAAGGAAGTCAAGGCCGGGCCTACCTATTTAATTCTGTGTGAGTATAATTACTTGGATAAAGTCTTACAATTTTTTTAGAAATTGTTAGATTCCTAGTTGTACACTATATGGTAGAGAGTAGAAATTGTTTGTGCTTTTTTTTTTATTTAATTTTTAGTTGAATTTCAATGTCATTACTTTGAATCATTTTTCAGACAATGTACAGTACTGTAGTTTAATGATTTTAACCATTTTCACTGTGGGGATGTCACTTTTAATATTTTATTTGGCTAATGCCAGATGATTTTATTCAACACAGAGGGGACTCTATACTCAAGTGGTTAAGTCAGTTATTTATTACAGAACTTACACTGCAGTTTTATTTATTGTTCATGCTTTTAAGGCACAGCATATACTTTTCTTTTAAATAAGAGTTATCTGTGAGGATGGGTGTTGGGTTGCTTGAATATGTTGTAGCACATCAGAATGGCAACTATAGTTCTTGCTTCTTATGTGATATTTATTTAACACGTGAATTAGTTTTGATTGAAGAATGAAGGGTTTTTGTATGTACTTGGACAGAGCACAGTTTGTCTCAGCATGTTAGAATGAAGATTAACATATAATTTTGGGCATATTCATCCAAACATTGTATTGTAGTCATTAATGTCTAATTTTAATGTATCATTACACCACTCATCAGCTTACTAACCATTCGGTGGTCAGTCTTCTCTGTTGCGACCTTCATTGTTCAGTGTTACTGCATTGGTGTGCCCTATATTTTCTTTTAATTAAAAAATTATAGCTCTGTTGCTGGTATGGTTGTGTAACTGTTCAAACTAGTTGTGTGCAGCTGTATGTCATGTGATATAATAATGGGCAAAATAAATAATATCTGTACAGTTCAAATGTCAATTTGATGGTTTAAGCAGTGAATTTAATTGTGTCATTTTATTTGTAGTCCTCTGCCTCGACAGTGAGTTATATTGTACTGTATGATTTGTTTGAAGCCAAATTTGGCATGGAAATCATGTATAGAAAGTTGAAGAGAAGAGCAATGAGATTTGTACACTTTAGCCAACACCTCAGTGGGGTGCTCTGACCATTAAAAGACCCAGATGTCTTCATTGCAAGTTTTGCTTAACAAATAAAATACTTATGAATTAATTTTTTGTTTACTTGTTTATTAGCCAAGCCATTCAGATGTACTTTGGCTCCCCAGATTCTCACTGTCAGCAGGTACTGTTGCTGTATACTGTACTGCACTCACCTTTTAATGTACTGTACCTGAGCATATCACCAGGTCTGTTTTGTGTCTACATTATTGTAAGACTGTAGACATTGTAATATGATTCTTCATTTTAATGGACTGAATAATGATTTGTACCCTGAGGATCAATGATAAATCAATTATTAGGGCCGCTTCATTTGACATTTTTTGTCCTGTGTGGAGGACATGTCTTCACACGGGCGTGTTTTTCATGCTTCAGTTCGCCTGCATCTGCCCATGATGGAAGATGTAAACAGAATTATTTATGCGTACTGTATTTGATGAACAAGGTTCTGAAGAAGAAAAGACAGTGCACATGGTGGGATCATCAAAAAACAAAAAAATCCAGTATAGTACTGTATGTACTAGACTATTACAAGGAGTATTTTACACATACAGTATTCAGATCTGAAAACTGATGAAGTTAAGTTTTCCAATTATACACTGTATATATATATATATATATATATATATATATATATATATATATATATATATATATATATATATATATATATATATATATATATATATATATATATATATATATATATATATATATATATATATATATATATATATATTTATACTACAGTACAGTATTTCTAAATATCCAAAATGCATATGCATAATACTGTACATAAATACTTAAAAATACATTCTTTATTTGACACAAATTATCACAGCACTTTCAGCCACTACCAGAGATGCACCACAACTGATGTGCAAGAAAAACATGCTCGTTTGAAGTACTGTATTCCATTGCCATATACTGTACAGTATATGAAGACTTCTAGAACACTCGGCATATTTTTTGCATGCTGTGATTCAGAAGTACACGCGTGAGGTGAGCGTCCGCGCCGTGCATTTGATTTTTCCCGCACGTGCTGTGTGTGAACGGCCCCATCGAACTTCATTCATTTATAAAACGTGCAGGAAAAACAAGTTTGTGTGAAGTGGCCCTTAACCCATGCAGAGGATCTGTGGATAGTACAGTACAGGACAGGTGTAATTCAGTAACTGAAATTAGAGCAGATGTTTTCGTACTGATGCCGGAAGAAGCAAATCAGGTTCTGGCTTAAGAGTTGATACCTTTAAGCGGCCTACTCAGTTTCATGGCATTTTCTGGAAAATTGAATTTTCTGTTTCAATCTTTTGTACAGATATTTGAATCGTTGATGTGCTTTGGATGGCATGTATCAAAAACTTGAATCCAGACCTTATACAGTACAGTACAGTATTTTATTTTGATGGGTTAAATATCTATGGATTTTCTAATTACCTTATCTCTAGATTTGTGTTTGAGCTGTTGGAATAAAAACAACCACACAAAGGAGTTGTGTCAGGCAGGTAACCCAATCTAATACCAGTACTTAGCAAATTTTCCATGCATTGGCTCCCATTTCTTTTGCTTTTAATACAGTAATCATATTCATGATATAGGGCCTAATACCATGACATTTTTTTTAGTATGAATCTAGTTTTAGAGCTGATGATTATGAACTGATATTTTACAGGGTGAACGTGGGGTGTGGACCTGCTGAGGAGCGGGTGCTCTTAACAGGCCTTCATGCTGTTGCTGACATATACTGTGAATGCTGCAAAACAACGCTTGGCTGGAAATATGTAAGTTTAGTCATTTGTCGATTCATTGAAACTATAAAGTTTTGAAAACTATCCTTAAATATTTTTCATATATTGTTTCATGAGGTATGCGATCAAAAACCCCAATAAAGTCAAAATATACAGTATACTACATATAAATATTGCCACCGCACTCCAGGATCTGTGTCCTCATATCCAGCACCTTAAGTAATTGTAAAAAGCAGGAACATCCAGGCATAAAACCATGTTGGTGATCCTTTTCAAGGTTGTTTTGTGGTAGATGTTTCATCCTTGCATCATGTACAGTATGTCATTTTCCATTTACTCGGGTAATGTTAATCTGTTTCTTTTCTGGTACTAAACTAACTGCCCTCTCTCATAACACTAAGTGCCTGGCACTTTTTTTTTTTTTTTTTATAAATCATACAATTTTTTTAGATGAAATATCAATTATATCATGTACGTAGTACAACATTGGATGCACTGCTTTTTATCCTATCAGCAAAGTTACCGGTAAGCAACCTTGGGTCTGGTTAGTACTTGGATGGGTGACCACCTGGCTCTAAGAACACCAGATGCTGCTGGTATCTCATGGCTTTGTCGGTTGTCCATGGTCAAATTGACTGAATATCAATTACTGTATTATTATAAAATTACATATAAGTTTTGAAAGTTAAACCTGTATCCTCAGTAAAGTACTGTATGCAGTTTATCCTGAGAGAATAAATATCATTTAACTAAATGAGTTACTTTGTCGTTTTCATAGCTATGTATTCACTTATCATAAATTTCACTTGTATTATTATTGAAGTTATTTTTCTCTTTGCAAAAAGCATGAAGTGTTATATCATCTTCCAGTCTTTTACAGGTTACAAGAAGGTCGAGAACCAAATGGTGCTTCTGTCCCTCTAAGTCTTATATATTTTTCATTATGCTGGGGAGAACTTTTAAGTGTACAGCATTCAGTTTTCCACTCTGTTGCAGAAATTGTAAACAGATTTTATTTCATTTAGAGTACTGTACAGTTTAAACATTGCTATGATATTTGATTATCTGCAAATTTTGCTTTTCTTGTTAATGTTTTAAATATTGTACACTGGGTCAGGGGTATTTGTACCAGATAAGACTTGTTTGAATTAAGGTTCAAAGTCAATGTAAAGCAATTTAAAGATCCAGTACCACTTGATCAACTCCACATAGAAGTGAGGGAAGAGTAAATATTATTGGTAGATTCATAGGATGCTGCTTTTAGAGGCTTTCTTGGCTCCTGCATTTGAGATGCCTCATATAGAGCTGTAGTTATTTTTTAAGTATTTACAGCTAGTATATATCCAGTATATTGGTTTTGTGTACATGTAATTCTTAAATAAGTTTGGTATTTCCAGGAACATGCCTTTGAATCCAGTCAGAAGTACAAGGAGGGCAAGTATATCATCGAGCTCGCACATATGATTAAAGACAATGGGTGGGACTGAGAGTGGGCCCCCTGTGGCCGCAAGAGCCTCGGTGTGCAGCTGTGACCTCCCAATGACTGCCAGACCTTCACTCCTCATCATCAAACCTAGAACGTTTCATCTCTTACTAGGATGACTCACCGCTTACCTAGGATGGAGGTGGAAAGTGTAGGCTGGACCCATTGATGATATCTGCTGCTTCCTTGTTAGTGTTAGGTTGACCAGCTGTGCACGACTTACTTTTGAGCAGTGATCTCAGCCAGTGCGTGATGCCAGGGTGTGCTGCAGTAAGAAACATTAGACAACAAGCAAATTTATTACAGTTACAAATTACAGAAAAAGACTACTGTACACTATAGTGATTATGGTGATACTATACAAGGATTAACTTAACCTGAATTTGTTCGCATTAATTTGTGTAAATAATGATGAATTAGTGGCAAAAATACATGAGTGAGTGTTAAAAGTGGATGGTAGAGAGGAGCAGCACACCCTGAGAGCAACTGGCCATCATCACCAGCATCACAATCATCCTACTTTCACATCATTCTTGACTGTCCCAACCAGCCAGTCATCAGTCAGCCAGCTAGCTCTCGTCCAGTCTCATGGCCTGTCTGTGATGGGCTTTGCCCGTAAGCAAATTTCAATTTGTTGTGTAGTAAGTGTAAAACTAATCATCCCACCCAGCCACTTGCAAGCCAGTTTGACACATTGTTGTATTTTGAACTCACTTAGTGTGGGAAGTTATTATTATTATTTTTTATTTTATTTTTTTATTTTTTTTTAGTATATATTATCTACCATCATTTGTTAAGGGACCATAGTGTGATTTGATCTGCTGCGGCAGAATCATGATAACACGGAGAGAATACAGCATTGCCCAGAGCTCAGTCAAGACAGAGACTTTAGTAGCCGTGCATTTTCCATGTGTGACTTTTAGATAAATAATGGGATTCAAGACACCTGTACCTTCATTATCATCATAACAAAAGGACTATTTGTTATTAAAGAATATTGTGCAAGAAAAAAGCTGTTAATGGCATTTGATGCTTGACCCATATTTTGGAGCACATAGAATAATCATACTTCTCATTTGTCTCGTCCATATTGCGTTTGCACAGGTCATGTGCAGGGAGTGATGATGGTGTTCCCACTGTGATCTTGTGCATCTTGGAAGCCTGAGCAGTGCAGGCAACCTGTGATGATGTGTCTTACTCAATGCCACACTGTGTGATTGGACAATATTTTAACTCATTTTCACTTGTTCTGTACTGTGTATTATATCCTAAGATTTGGTGTTCCCAACAACTGGACAAGATAGATGATTGTGCTGCTTTCATTTCCAGTCTGTCATCATCATGCTAGTTTTATAGAAATGTCATTTGGTTATCTTTTTATTTTCTGCAGTTAACTTTAGTTGAGATTGAGTTGAGATAAAATTTTCATCTTCTCTAGCAATTTTACATTGTTTGGTTAAACTACCTGACATAATCCAGATACACTTTAATTCATTCAGTTGTACAGTATTTATGTGAGGCAAACAAGATACATGCATAAGATAAAGGACATAATTCCATAGGAACATGTTCAAAGTTTTACTATGCAGCGCTTAATGTATACCTGAATGAGGTAATCATCACTAGGCAGTCATTGTTGATAAAATGAGAATCACTCTTTTAAAGAAACATAAATTCAGAGTATGTGAGTAGGAAATGTATGAATTAACTGGTGTAAAATTTATAATCTAGGTTAAGAAAAATAGTACAGTATTTTGTTGTTATACATATACAGAGCAAAGAGTTATATGGATTGTAATTGTCCAACCATCTCTCTTTCCATTAAACATTGGTTAATTTTTTAGGTCAGTTTTCAGAATTAGAGCAGGCATATTTACTCATTTCTTCAAAGCTCTTTCTTGAATGAGTTCTCATATTAAGAGGATGTAAACAAAAGTATGTGATAAAATATTCCAATTCAAAACTGATGGTTTAGTTTAAGGAAGCAGGTGTATTTGCTCCCTATACAATAAGCATAGTGTAAGTTTATTACATGTGCTATTAAGCTGTTTATGTAACTTTAGTATTTCATTCAGGTTACAGCAGTATTTACCTCTTGAATGTACAGTCTTTTTGTTATTTCCTGTACATAAAGGATGCCAGCCTTCTAACTGATTCTTCCACCTGAGGAGATGAATTGTCTTTACTTCACCATCGCAATGTTAGATGCTAGACAGTAATTCATTTGAATGACCATGTATACATTTGAGTAAGCCATGTGTCATAAGGAAGACTACTCTGCTTTGAATATAGGATAAAAAGGCAACCACTTGTGAATATGTGATAAATTAACAAATGCTCATAAGTTAGATAAAAGCTCCCTAAGAATATTAGTGCCAACTTCGGTTTATATTTTTGTGCCAGATACTTGGACTGTTTTTTTTTTTTTTCTTAACACTTCTTGTTGTTATGTATCATTCCCTCCATATCACAGCAACAATTCCCTGATAGCTAACTCACACCCGACTCATGATAGTGTTACCTAACATTTGCTAGATAATATGTGAATTATTCTCAACTCAATCTCAAATGAAAGTCAGCTGAAGAAAATGTAATCATTGTGTAAGATGGAAATACCTGAAAATTATCTGGTACCTTTTATCAGAATGTTATTGGATATACATTAATTGCAAACCAATGAAATGTTAGCAGTTTCTCAATCAAAAAGTCTTTGTTTAGAGCTGAGAGAATGTTAACCATCATAATGATGATACTATGATAGTAGTAGACATTGTTTGTGGAGTAAGACACCTTAATGATTTATCATGATAGCTGTAGCCAATGTTTGTAGAATAATAATGGATAGGGCTTTGTTATTGGTCAGATGAAACATTTTTGTGCAGCCCTCAAAAGTTCCATATATAGTCAGGGGTCCAAGGTAAGGTATTTATTGTCAGATGTGGTATGGAAGGTAACATCATCTTGATGTGGACATGTGTTACCTTATGCAAGTCAGAGGAATGTCTTGTGGAACATCTTTCAAATTAATTAGGTCTGCTTGGCTGCTTTTTGGCTTGGTGGTGGAACACTGAAAATAGCTTTAATCATGTGTAGTTAAGATTCAACCAAGTACCTATTGGCTAGCCTTATCACATTCGTTAAATGATATTAATCAGTTCATATAGCATGTCAGTGTGTATCGCCATAAAGTTTTGGCATAGAACTCCACACTAATTGTGGGATTGAGATGATAGTCCTTGCTTCTCTTTTTTAAGGTGGTAGGACGTATAAAGAGAACTGTTCACTACAGGACAGTTGGTCTGGATTGTGCAATTAATTAAAAGGATACTGGGATACTGGTCACTACATGTGGGGATTTACAACTTATCATTTAGGTTTATCTCTATGCTCAGGTAGATAGAGAAGCGCCCTTGACTTCTACTCTCTCTTTTTTTCAGATATGAATTGTAACCCCGTTTATGACTTTAGAAGAAAATAACCTTTTCTTACCAAAGTAATATACCTTCAATTCTTTCATGTTGCTTGTGTGTATAACTGGCATCTGTGCCTACTTTTGCTGTCTTTGACTGTTGTGTCTTGTCTCTGCTGCTCACGGCACCAAAGCTGGTCTTCTTATTCATTGCTCTAAATGATCTTTGTTGTGTTTATTTTGACTAATGTTTAATCTTCTTAGCTTCTCAGCATTTGCCTAACACATTGAGCTTATATTAGGCATTCAATGTAATAAATAGTATTTGTTATTTTGTTTGTCTCATATTCTGGGCAACTGTTATACTTTGCTTTGTTATTTTCTTATTTATTTGTAAAAAAAAAATAATAATTTTTATATTTTACATTTTTCATTATTGGATTTGTATGGCTTCTGTCATTTTTGTATAGTTGCTATTTTTAATAGTAATTTACAAGATTTGTCTGCCAGCCATTAGCCCTAGTAATTCCTGTTCTTCTCTTGCTTCACTGACTTTTGTTGCTTCTCCAACCAGCACGAGTTCTTTCAGTATGTACTGACCTCAGTACATACACATTTCAGCATATTCTGACCTTAGTACATGTATATTTGAGTATGCTCTGACATCAGTACATACATTCTTTAGTAAGCACTGACCTCAGTGCATACAACCTTGAATGTATATACTGATCTTGGTAAATACTAACTTTAGCATGTACTGACCTCAGTACCTTAACTCTTTCAGTATGTATTGACTTCAGTACATACATAGATCATATGTACTGATCTCAGTACATACGCAGTTCCACATTTCAGTAAATGTATGCAAATGGTCATAATTGTGTGAAGAGATATTTACTAAAGAGAGATCCCTACAAGGTGGTCCTATATTTTTACATGGCATTCTAGTCTTTCATTCTAACCAATAGTTCAGAAGTGTGCATGTCTTTGCCTTGTGTTATATTACAGTACTAGTTGTTTGTATCATGGTTCATGGGGTATATTAAAGTGGATGGCGAGAGGCAAAAGCATTATTTGTATACTGTACTGTGATAATGTTGAGGTTTGTATGGTTGAGTTATTAATTAGGATTTACAGTTAAATGCTTGGTGTAATAACATCATGTGCAGGTTCAGGGGTTGAGCACTACTGAAGAGCATCTCATATATTGGATATCTAAATGTAAAAATGTTAATATTGTATGTATTGGAAATTATCAGCACTGTCAACCAGTTCTAGGTCCATCTGGTTTGTTTTGCCTTTCGTCATAACAATAACCACTGATTGTGCAGGACACTTTGGCTGTTGTAGTGCTTTTGTGATTGACATTATCATAGAGGAGCTTGGAAACATTCACATAGGTTAGTTTCCTTTCAATGTTGTATTTCATAGCAACCATCATGACACTGGTAACTGCTTTTATTTTAGATTATCCATAGATGGATTACTTCCTGTGGAAAGAGCAATCATAACATATATTGCTTACAAACACAGGCAGATGGGACTAATGTTTCAGCAACATTTTTATTTATTTTTTTTATGCTCGCTTTCAGTCCCTCTAGATATACAGTGTTCTCTCGGTATCCATTCACTGGTTGCTATGCTCATGTTGTTGACAAATGGAACACAAGTATTTAGGACCACAGTACATTTATATTCTGTCCAAAGTGAGAGGGGTCCATATACAGTGTTTGTCACTTTTATACTTAGCCAGTTATTCTTCAGTGACACAGGTAGGATTCGTTTACTCATTATGCATAACATGCTCATGTAATATCTTTTTTAAGAAATGTATCTTGCGAACTACTTTTTTTTAAGAAATGTATCTTGTGAACTCCAATTTTTTTGTTTTTGTTTTACACATTTAGTAGAAGATGCATGGGACTACTGGCATGAAGAGTGTCTCAAATTTACTGCTTCCTTATTCTGCTGGTACAGACTCATCCCCTCACACTGAACTAATTTGTGCTGTTTCTTAGAGCAGAGATGGTCATGTATTGTTCAGAAACCTGTATTCATATTTAGTTCCATTTGGTGGAAATTTAAATCAAAACCTCCAATGTTGCCTTGATGGAAGGACCCATAGGACCTTCAGCACAGTTTTTGCTGTGGAATGTATGCTGGGGAAAATTTACCCGTTTATGGGGTGTGACCTCAGTGTCCACATGCTTCTTTGTTCCTGCTTCCTGTCTTGGTGACTTATAAAAATGAGTTTTGTAATGGCATAGAACAGAATTATTGCCCACCTTTGCTCATAGCTCATAAGATATTAGTGTCAATGATGGTGTATTTGGTGATTTGCAGTACTGTATCAGTGTAGTTATTTCATATGTATATAGATCATTTTTTACAACCAAGGACGACATACTTTGTTTGGAAACATTTTTTATTTCCAACATGTGGAGGATTCATATGGGATTAGGTCAGCGAGTACTACAACATGAAGACTAAGGTTCAGAGTTTGTACACATGAACAAAAGGACTGAATCTTGGTGGGACTGAAAAAGTCAGTAATTGCTGATCCTCTCACAGATTGTATCTTGTAGCATCGTAGAGCTTGCTGTTTTCAGTAAATCTGGATATACTGTACAAGCACATAACTGTGATTTAAAAAAATTGTAAGAGTTGATTTTCTTGTCAAAAGAAGTTTCACTTATGGAAATAATCACTTAAAATAAAAAATAAATCCAGATTTGCTTTGCTGTATATAGTATTTATTCACAGGAAGCTTACACTAGTTGCTGCCACAGATGCAGATTAATATATTTATCTTAAACTTTATTAATGAAACTAAATATGGAGAAAATTTTAATGTTACTTGTAATGTATTTTTATTTTTATTACTTTTTTTTTACATTTTGACATAATTAATGGTACTATATTGATAGAGAAGGATTTGGATAAATTTAAATATCAGTGAAACCTGAATAGAATATTGAACAGGAAATTGGTCTGTAATGAAATTAAACTGTTATTTTATAATACTGTATAATTTTGAAGGGCTAAACATGATTGACCCAAATTCTTTTGCATAAGCATGAAGGAGTGGGAAGATTTAATGATGCTGTGGCAAGAAGATGTAGCCACTGTCATGATGAGGACCCCAGACTAAGATACTGTTCATGATTTTGTTGGATTCTTGTGAAATTAGGAAATGAGATGAGTACAGTATTTTGTTTACATAAACACACACACACACATACGTACATACACTTTCACTCATACACACACTAATCATTGTATAAATGTAATATATGCACATATACAGCTTAAGTGTAATGCTGAATATGCATCCTGTATGTTGCATATAGTGTATATTCAATTTATGCAGTACATTGTATATATGCAAATATGCATATAGCCATACATAGATACATGGAACAGTAACATTGTTCTCACCTTAAATATTGAGAGAATTGCAAGATGTTACATATAACTTCCCATATGATGCATTTCTCAAAGTATCGTGATATGTGCAGTAACATTATTATAGGCAGATAAATATTATAGTCTGCATAACTAGCAGCAACATTTTTGGTACGTGAGTGTCTCACATAAAAAGCTGCTAAATGTGACTTTACACAATAAACATTTACCAATATGTGTAGTATTTCATTATACCCCTCTTTTGTATGCATTTATTAATATGTACAGTATTCTTTCTTGGCAAACATACATAAGGAATGATGGCTTTTTTGAGCAATTCTTTTTTTTATTTAGAAATTAACTTTCCTAATTACAGGTACAGTACTTTAATAATTATTTCCTCATTTATGAACATCCATAGTTATGAAAAAAAAAATTGTCCAATGTTTCGATTTATGTACCAAAAATCTGATGTTACGATTTATTTACCGTTTTCTCATAATTTTTCACAACATAAGAGACGCTGCTGTACTGACACAGGCATCCCAGGGCTTTCTGTACCAGACCTGGTCAGTTTATAAAGACAAACTGAAAGCAACATACAGTACTGTACTGTATTGAGAGTGGTTAACTAAAGCTAGAAATAAAAATATGTACATCCATATTCCTGCGATTTTATGTAATTTTATTATTTATTACTACTGCAATATTGTTATTACCGGTATAGATGTTGGCTTTGCATATATTTCTGTTTACTTGTTTCTAATTACAGTATTAATATCTCCCTGTTAGATGGGATCTCCAATCCCTGGAACTCTCCCATACCTGGAATGAAATTTGAGCCTTCCAGGAAATTCAGTACAATACACACACACATGGATTTTCACTGATTTATAAGATTAATTTCACTGTTAACTTCAAAGCACAGTACTGTATCTCAGCTCAACCTACAACACAGATGGATTTTCAATGGTTTGTAAGAAAAAAATTTCCTCTTAACTTCAGAAGGACGTATGTTATTGGCTCAATGTACAACAAAACAAGTTCATATGACAACTTTTCCTCCTAAACAAACATGTAGAATGTCACTAACTACCACGTGATAGACGGCACCTGGAAACATGAATGGTCAATTCACTAGCCCGTACCTTCCAACCTGACTTGTAACGGGTACAGAACACAAAGACAGACAGACAGAAACATAGACAGAGAGACAGCCAGGCAGACATACAGACAGAGAATGACATAGACAGAGAGACAGCCAGGCAGACATACAGACAGAGAATGACATAGAAAGACAGAGGGACAACCTATTCCATAAAACAAGTCACTCGCTTCTAATCTACTTGTATGTACCCAAATTACCTCCAGGAAGGGGGAAGGTTAAAGGGAGGGTTAGGGGAGACAGCTGAGCCCTACAACACACACAGCTGCTCAACACAGATCACCCGAAGACGATATTTAGTTTGAATAATTTGTTTGTATGTAATTTGTGTGTCTATCAACTCCAGGATGGTGGTAGGTCACATGGTCATTTTCTCACATACAATGGTAATAGTGGTAGCAGTAATGGCAGTAGCTCATATCCACATTCCCAGATTGTGATAATAGTGGTAGCTCGCATGGTCATATTACAGATTTTAATAATAGTGGTAGCAGTGGTGGTAATACAGGGTATTGGTAACATAATGGTGGTAGTGCTCAAATGGATATATTCCCAAATATTGGTGATGGTGGTAGTTCACTTGGTCATACCCCAGATACAGGTAGTGGTAATAGTGTTAATACAGAAGGAAACTTGTTAATTGGCAGTATCACACTGGATAACACTTTCCCATGTGTCAGTCTAGCTGGGACTCAAACCCAGGATAAATATAAGAGATGCACACTTTACCACTGCTCTGCTCACTGTAGTTTTACTTTTATCCTCTTTGCCACTGATCAGCTCATTAGCACCACCAACATCCATTGACATTTCTACTACATACTGTGTATGACTTGGTTTAATATAATTTAGGTTAGAAGTAATTTACCATAATATAAAAGCCATTAACTTAGTATATTAACATCAACAAGTCCACTGCACCTGCCATTGTCATTATCAATTATCATATATCTTGCTCTAATCAGGCCGCACCTCGATTATGCTGTTCAGTTCTGGTGCCCTTATTATAGAATAGATATAAATTCACTGGAGTCGGTGCAGCGAAGAATGACGAAAATGATTCCGGGACTTAGAAACCTTCCATATCAGGACAGGTTAAAGAAACTTAACTTGCATTCCCTAGAAAGACGAAGAGTGTGGGGAGATATGATAGAAGTATTTAAGTGGGTGAAAGGAATCAATAGAGGAGATATAGATAAAGTTCTCATAATATCTGAGCAGGATAGGATGCGTAACAACGGGTTTAAGTTGGATAAGTTTAAGTTTAGGTTTAGGAGGGAGATAGGAAGGAACTGGTTCACAAATAGAGTGGTGGACGAGTGGAACAAGCTTAGCAACTTTGTAGTAAGTACTGGAACGCTGGAAAGTTTTAAAAGGAGGCTAGATAGATTCATGGATGATAGAGAGTGGTTACTCTCGACAAGAGCTGCCATGCACAGGCCAACCGGCCTTTTGCGGACTCCTTATTTTCTTATGTCAGTGCCAGACCAAATGTTTGTCAACAAACGCACGTGTCAGACACCTCATCAAATTATGGACAATTATCACGTTATTTGTGATTTGTGGGTAGAAAGAGACAGGTCACCACGTGGTCAGGTCTTAAATAGCGGGGGGTAGGCGTGGCTTAGTAGTTGACCCCCGCTCCGTGATGTATGGCGGCGCTGGTTGAACTAGACAACGAGGCATACACTGGGGAATTGGTGGGGTCGGCTACTCAGCGACAAACAGCGTTTGTAGGGGAGAATTCCACTACAGGCTACCTGGTATCTACCTACCTTGCTTATATGTATATTCTGGAACCAGTAATGCACTTGCTTACAGTGCGTAACAGAAATGACCGACCGCCCAAGGAGCTACGAGCCGATCAGTGGCGCAGAGGATATATCAAATAATTAACAAACTACCTTAGAGCAGACTAGCCAAAACTTCTCATAATAAGTTAAAACTTTAAAATGCAAATATTTGGGAGTTGAGTAAAAAGTGTTAGTGACTATTAGGAGCTGTTTGTGTGAAATAAAAGTTAAAGTGGAAATTAAAAAGAAGATAAATCACGCAATATACCAAAAGTCTAATAAAATTTGATTAAACACAAGGAAAAAAGTAGTAACTACTGATTTTATATAGCGTTCTTAGTTTGGTTATAAAGGATATTACCTCTAGGAAATATTTCTCCATGTTTGTGTCCTCCATGGTTTGGGCATACCCTGCCAGCGAGTGTGGCTTAACCGGGTGGTTAGTGGTTACAGGACCGGTGGGTGTGTAGACGTGTTAAGGCTGGCAGAGGTGTGTTCATCTATAAGAAACATGAGTGCTTCCAAGGTCAGTAATTGTACATCGATTCCTGTTATGCAAGGTACTGGCATTACTTGCTTATATAACTGATGTAGACATGGTGGCAATTATTCTCCCCAGTGACGCTTTTGTAATATTTTGTAATATGTATACAGAAAATATTTATCTATACTATTAATCTCAAAGTTCTGATTCGGTTGGGTACAGTTGTAATAACTGGTTATATGTAATTTTAAAGACAATATATAAAAAACGCTGATGTGTTGTAGTAGTAACTTGTCACTGACTTGGCAAGCTTATTCAAGGTCGTGGGTCCAGGGACAGGTTTTGGTGTGGGAGGGGCCGCGGGACACCCGGCATCACCACCCAACCCAAAGTCCGACGTTCTCTTATTTAAAGTTATGCAATTTATAGATCCTTCTTGGCAGTATTAAATAACACAATCAGCGAAGGCAGATTTGGTGAAATATTAAAGGTATGTTGACAGTCATCTCGTGTCGTGCTGTAGTTGAGATAAATAACCCTAGGAAGCTGTACCAACTGTTGTTATAATGTTATTAATGTGCTTCAACAAGTAAGGTCTTTGTTAATTACACTAGTCCAGCAACATAAAAAGATATGGAAGAATCAGATGGAACTCGCCATGGATAAGATACGGTTTTTAGTCCTCGGAATTCACCAGATAGGCTTGTGTCGTAGTTTGTGAGACTAACAAGAGATGGAGGCGCCGTAGGTTTAAAGGGCACGTTGTTTTGTTTACGTTTCTCAGGTACTGCGTTTCGCCCACCATGGCCAAGGTTGTTAGTAATAATAAGTCAACAAAGTTGTCATACAAATTTACAATTAGATAAGTATGTTTTTAAACTACGTAGTTAAACTATATACAGTTCAGCATGAATATGGACGATATAGGTGTGTGATATACATAGGCTGAGACTGCAAGTAAGCAACAACGGTAAACAGTAAGGCAACTTGACCAATGATAGCCTACAAAACTATCTAGTGCTTATATACAGGAAGGCATCTTGCTTAGGCTTACGTTTGATATCTTTGGTAGTCAGTAATACTATATCTACAGGAGTATCAGTGAAAGTTTATTTGATAGAATTCACAAATATTATATTGCTTTTGGACTAACTGAGGCTGGCAGATCACTATCACAATAACTACATTCTGTGGTTTAATAATAAAGAAACTCACTCTTATCCTGCTGTAACTTCATCTATTATGTATTTCTTTGTTTTAGCTCTGAATTGCTTAATACCGTAACTGGTTTTGATGTGGTCTGGTAACTTGTTCCAGTCCGTTATAGCCCCTGTAATTTGTATTGAGATGAGAGTTTTGTGAGGGCTTTGTATGAAATAGTTTTCACGTGTAATTTATGTGATACTTCATAATGGGCACCACTAAAGTAGCAATTTTGGGAATTTAATTTATGCTGTAGAATGTTTGTTCCATCAGTGAATAGTACTTGAAGTTAGTGGAACTAGTGTCGGGAAAACAGTTAATTTGATTTACTTATGAAACATCAAATAGGCCGTGGCTTCTTTTCCTGTAGTGCTTCAGGGAACTTAACAAAAACCATCACTGAACTATCTTATTCAGTGCTTTATTATTGCTAAAATGAGACATAATTCAGTAAATATTTTTGTTGATACCCCAAAGGCACAGAGGCTATGGTATTTTCTCAGTCTTGACTTAGTAGTTACAAATGCAAAATAAACTAACCAGTACTTGCCAACAGTAGGTAACAGAATTGACTGACAGCCCAAGCATGTGATCGGTGGCAAAGAGAATAAAAACAAATCCATAAAACTGGTAGTTTAATACAGCCCATTTGAAAAATTTACCCATCTGATCAGCCTTTTAGGTGCTTGAGCAGTTGGTAACATCTCTTTTATACACTGTTGGCAAATAGTGGACATGTACTGGTTCCAGTATGTACTTGTGCCAGTGTTGATCAAGTTTGGTTACATTCGGTCTGTCACAATGCTATATTGGAGATAATTAAATATTGGGTAATTATGTAGGACTATCCCGTTACTTAACATTTGTGGGTATTAGGAACAGACCTAACCAAGCAAACCTACCTAACTTCCCCGGTATATTAAACAGAAAGAACTTACTATCATACGGTGAAATTGAGACATTTTCTGGATATGAGATGATACAGCCGCATCGGCGCTATGCAGCCCGGGGGGGGGGGGGGGGTGATTCCTATATACAGTATTAGCCAAATATTGTGTTAATGGTATATTTTAGTCACCATCTTGATATGTGGCTCACAACTATGACATTTTGTTTTTAGTATAAAACTATATACAGTACCTCTATAGGGCACTTGGTAAATACCCAATTTGTACAATTATATATTTTTCCTGTGTGCCATTCCTCCTTCCTCATAAACTGTACAGCTTTGGCGAATTAAGAAAAAAGGGTACTTTTCCAGTATACCTGCACTAATTTTTAAGTTCATAAATTAGTTTTCAATTAACCTAACTTAACCCATAGGTTAGGTTAGCTGAACAAATTTTCTTAGGGTTTTAAAATTTTTACAAGGGTATAACAGAAAAGTACCAAAATTGCTTGACTACTACAGAATTTAGGAGGAATGAAGTACTGAATATTTTTATTTTCTAGTTATTCTCTATAACTGCAGAATATATCTATACTTTGTCTCTCTCCTCAAAAACTGCTCATTTCCTCTGATAAAATATAGAAATGGATGACTCGACTTGAGGACCATCAGGATCCCTTAGCTTTTATGCCTCTTTTCAGAAAATCGTCTTCTTGAACTTGATCTTGTTTTCTTTCAAAACGTCCTAATGAAGCAGACCTCAATATTTCACCTTTCAGAACTGCCTCACGAATCTGACCTCATTAGTTGCATTTTCAGAGTTGTGTTTTTGTTAACCTAACTTTATTAGGCCTTGTTAACATGACTGACCCTCAATTTTTCTGCCCACAGCCAACTCTCTACTCATACTTCCGCAGCTCATGTTCTTGGCGTGTCAGAATTGGTGAGTCCCATGATCCACTTCACCCATCCTTTCTTTCATAACTTACAAATATTGTTTTCACATATGCATGATGTAATTGTTATATATTATATGGTATTCGGTATACATTGTCATATGCAAATAATTTAGATAAATGAATCGGTTTACGATTTTAATATAATCAATATCTAGATTGTGAGTTGAGTATAGTACTTTGACTGCATTATAATGAGACTTGGTATTTATCATGCATATCAATTCAATAGTACATATGTATGGTTGATCTTTTCCAGCTCTGGCACACAAAGGAGTTGACTATGATTACAAACCAATTCATCTTCTCAAAAAAGAACAGGTAAAGTGACCTAACTTAGACTATGTACTGTACTGTGCAAAGTATTAATTTATGTCCTATTATTTTAATAGTTTCTACTGAAATATGTATTTCCCAAAATGTGACAATAAAATGCAGTCCTTTTCATAGGTCAGTGATGAATTCATGAAGCTGAACCCCATGGGCCAGATTCCAGCACTCATTATCAACAATCAGACGCTGACACAGTCGGTGAGTATTAGTACCTGTGCTAGTTATGGTAGTACTGTTGTATAATAATGCAGTGGTTGAGGTGAGGACAGATGACTATTGTAATGTACAGTAATTCCTCACCTATATTTGTTTTGTTTCATAAGTTTAGTTTCCTGTTATTGTGCTAGTAAGTTGGAGATTATGTGGTTCACTGAGAGAATTGGGTATGGTATGTTTTGTATGAGTAGTTTGATGCTGGCCCTTGTATTTGTAAGCTGTAGGTGCAGTGGTGTTTTATTTTAGAGGGTTAATTGTCATTCGCCAACTGATGATCATTAACACCATACGGATAATTTTTCCAGATGAGCATTCTGGAGTACCTGGAGGAGGCCTACCCTCAGAAGCCACTGCTACCTAAGGACCTGTTCACTAGAGCAAAGGTAATTATGATAGCATTTTTCTTTGAGGAATTGAGCCACGGAACAGAAAAGATTTTCGGGGAAGAAGAAGGTGGCGCATAATGTATTAACTTCATATACAGTGGTCCCTCGGTTAACGAACACAATTCGTTCCACATAGTTGTTCGTTAACCGAATCTATTATTTCAGTGGGATATTGGGTAAATGGTTCCAACTCGCAGAAAAATACATACAAAGTATAAATAAACTGCAGTACAGTACACTTACTTTGAGGTGTGTATGTAGAATGTTGCTGGTTGATGATGTTGATGGGAATTAGAAGTGGGGGTGGAGGAGGAGAGGGGAGAAGAGAAGGAAGTGGGAATGGAGGAGAAGGGAGAAGAGAAGCATTTTAATGCTTCTTGGAAGACGAGTCACCTTCCATAATAATGTCAGGAACCTCTGGACTTCTCGAACATAAAAATCCTCTCTCCTTTTTGGAGAGGAACACTGAGGGGAATCGTCTTTCTCACCCATGCTTGATGCAGTAATTTTGCCAATAAAATTGGAAGTTCACTAGCTGTAATTAAAGATTATTTTATTTAAATCAACACTGCACTGCACTATATAGTATCAATATGTTAACTAAATTTTAGAATGACCAATAATTTTAATGTAAAAACGTAAAAATACTCTGTATTCAAGAGACGAACGAACACGATGTTTCCTCCACTGTAAACAAAGTTAAACAGAGATGCTTTGGCGGGCGAGTCAAGCGGCTGATGGGCGCACAAATAACTAGTACCCTGTACTGGATATATTATCAATATGTTAACTAAATTTTAAAATTACTAATAATTTTAATATAAAAAATGCAAAAATATTAAAGAGCACAACCTTCTTGATATTTACTCCACTGGAAACGAATGAAAACATAGAACCGATTACTGTACTGTAATGAGTAATTATTGTATTGACTATCACTATACAATGATGGAGATTTATAAATTACTTTCTATCTACAATGGTAAGACAATACAGTATTATGTAGATGAATCATGGATGTACAATTGCTTGCTAAAAATTAACAATACCAAGTAAAAATTTGTAAAGTTGTGAAATTGTTAGAACATTTCCCTCTCATGTAACTTAGTTTTTAAAAAGCATTTTGTAACTTCAGTAAAATGAGATAACTTGTATTACACTGCTATTTTTTTAAACTGAATTATCTTTGAAGGTTCGTGAGGTTTGTGAAGTGATTTCATCTGGCATCCAACCACTGCAGAACTTGTCAGTACTGCAGAAGGTGGGTGATGAAAAGAAGATGGAGTGGGGACACTTCTACATCAACAAAGGCTTTGTTGGTGAGTATCAGATCTTGTACTTGAAGTAAATGCAATACTGTACTTACCATTCCATTATTAGTCTTGTGTACTGATTTATTACTCCTTGAAACTTCATATAATAAGGATGCTTTATAAAGATTAGTTAGCATTTTTTTTCCTGCTTGCCATAATGACCATATTTATTCCCAAGCCTTGGAACAGCTGCTAGCAGGATGTGCAGGGAAATACTCGGTCGGAGATGAGGTGACCCTGGCTGACTGCTGCCTTGTTCCTCAGGTCTATAATGCCAACAGGTGAGGCGTGTGGAAAAAAGGCTCTTCAACAACTTTTTTTTCGAATTATTACAAAACAAATAGAACTCTGGGATATTTATTAATAGGTTGTATGTGATAAAGGTTTCTTGTATCTCCATGGGTGCATTTTGTTTGTAATATTAGCTACAGTTACTAGTATAAATAGTAGAGAGTTCTGCTCAATACCAATTGTTGTAATATATTCTCTCACATTATTTTCACATCTTTACCATATCATACCAGTTCATATAATTTTGTTAAAGCGTTATACAATATTTAAGGAAAGATTTTTTTTCACGAATGCCAAAAGAAGGTTTTGGGGTAAAATTTAGAGGAGTGCAAGTGATATATTTTTTTTTTAACAGATTCAAGGTTGAAATGGCCCAGTTCCCCACCATTGTGCGAGTTCATGATGCTCTTAGTAACCTGGAGGCATTTAAAGCTGCCGAGCCCACCAACCAGCCTGACTGTCCTGAAGATCTCAAGTAGTTCTCACATCAGTCATATATTACCAGAACAAAATCAATAATGCTAAAACTAAATATCCTCCTTATCTTTGTCATAGAAGTTGGATACAAGGAGGGCGCTTTTCAGTGTACGCTTCACCCATTGGCTACGAGGGATCTATCCGAGCTGAATAGAATCGTCTGGCATTAACCAAATACTGCTTAAAAATATTAAAAGTGGCATCCCATAGTGAAGGGGTTAACAAAAATCCGGTTAACTTACAGGTATTCAGGAACGCATCATGTATGTAAAGCGGACACTAAATGTATCTTAGAACAGCATCTGTAGTACAGTTCCTTAGTTATTTAAATATTGAAAGTACATAAATATATTGAAAACGGGATCGTAATTTTGCCAGCATACTGTACTAAAAGGAAACCTGTTTAAACTGAATACATAAGGTTGTACTTGAAATATTTTACAAATATAAGTATAAATTTTGTAGATATCAAGATGTTCATCATCATCTAGTGTTATAAAAAGAAAGTTAATGAATAGTAGCTAGGCACAATATTTAGTACTGTAGTAGCTTTAGTCTGTGATAATTTACTATTCCAGCTGATACTGCTCAACAATGTACGTAGTGTTATAATATAGTATTGTGTATTATGAAGGATGTCTATTTTCTTAAATGTGCTCACTTACATAAAAAAATATATTAAAGTATTAAAGTTCTTACACATTTGTACAATGTATCTAATTTACCAGTACAGTACTACATGTTATTTGTTGTCAGTTGAAATTACGGTACAGCATGAACTTTGTTTTTATAATACTGCACAGTACAGTGCAACAATGTTTTGAGGTTTACTAAAGCAGTAACAAGGAGAGGGCATCAGCTTTGTACATACTTGTGTTGGCAGGAGGTTGAATACATCTGCCTGTGTTTAATCCTTAATCGGCAGCCAACTTCCATTGATGTTGATGTACAGTAGGTGACTGCAACCAACGTCAAGACATTTACTGGGTAAATTTGTATGGAATTCCCCTGCTTTGTTTTAGGTCTTAGAGATTAGATTGGACATGTGAGCAGCATCCTCAGTAGGGCTTTGTCAAGCATGGAGAGTGGAACTTCTGCACCTTACAGTTCAGGGGGTGATAAGACATGGGAAAATGGGTCCCTGACCATTATTGTGTTATAATGGACATGTGCTGGGAGAAAAACATGGACCAGACAAGTTGTATGATAAGTAAAGATTTTTTTTCATATGCTATTCTGCATCTTTGTCTATAATTTCATAAGGAAATTTTCTATATTTTTAAGAATTAAAAAGAAAATAATTTGTTTGTACAAACACAGATCACCCAATTTTTCCGTGGCTGCAGTTTATGGGTTAAAACCTCAAAGGTGAATAGAGGAGCTATTAAGTATAGTACACGTCATTATGCTTCCGCAAATTATTGAGAGATTTGACTGGGGCTAAAATGTGAATTGGTATGGCAGCTAGTACTAGTGGAGTTTACAGTACAGTACTAGATGGGGCCAAACTAGTGATTTTTTTTTATAGTCCTTGAAATGGTCAAATTCAAATGATGTCGAAATAAGTTGTTTTCTTCTCTACCCAGCCTCTATACAGGTGTGTTGGGGTATAACTGCAAATTCTCAAAAGGCTGAGAGGGGTGAAGTGGAATCATTATCACTGACCTGGAACTGTTTGCAAATCTCTCTTCCTTGATCACATATAAGGACTAGCGAGGGAGAGATGGACTTCCAGAGCTACACACAGTTTTGGGAAGTACACTGCTGTAACATGCATCTTGTCCATCCTGGCTCTGCCCAAGAAAGTAAGCTGGAGTAAACCGTTGTGTATTTTGTTTTGGCATCATAGTCATGAGGTAATGTTATTAGAGACAAGTTCAGTAGGTATGTTGATATTTGACATCCAATCTTTCTGTCTACCAGTGAGCCTCTTGCAACTGATGGTATTTGCATTTATATAAGCTGAAAGATTTTTTTAGTTGTTGGTGGCTACACTTTCCATCCATCCATAAGAATGGAGGAAACTGCAGTGGGCCTATTGGCCCATACTGGGCAGTCCCATTTACACTCGACCCCAATTGCTCATATATCCATCTAATCTGTGTTTGAAGTTATCCAGCATGATCCCGACTGTTGAGTAGTTTTAGTTTACACATTAACAACAAAATAAAGAACAAAGAGTTGTGAATCTATCCATTGCACTTCTTAGTACAGTATTTGAACTTGGTGTTGTCCCATTCTGTGAAGGAATCGGTTATTTATTACATGATGGAGGTCAAAGTACCAGGACAATTTTGATAGCCAAGGAGTTTTGTTTTTTGAGAGCCATTAAGTAGAGTCAAGCATCTGGTCCACTGTTAAAGGCTCTTCACTATTATGAGAAGAATAAGACATAAATGGCTTGTACGGTATTAAGAATGTGTATTTTGAAATGCACAACACCAATGAACATTATATATAATGGCCATTTTGAATGGTATTTACTCATCTCAAGATCCAAATGAAGTTTGAGAGTATTCACCGCCCATTGGCATTTACTATACACTGGTTTGATAATCTTTCTATAACATTTGCCACTCCTATTTTATATAACAATTCCATTATATATGAATTTCCAATTTATGCCATTTACTTTGCTATTCTGTATAAATTTACAGTATAGGGTATAATATTCGACATTTAGGGTTATAATTAGTTTCTTTAGAATAAAACGGTTTTTCTAGACAGTGGCGAAGAGGGTAAAATAAATAAAAGTACACATAAGTAAAATAATTGTTATCTTTTTCAGAATAAAAAAGTAAAGAAGTCCACCCATGAAAGGTTTCATTTTCTTTTATTGCAACAAAGAAAATGGAGGTAAATAAACCGTTTCATGAATGGGTTTAAATACGGGACTTAAATAACTTTGAATGAGCTTAAATGCGGTTATTAAATGACTTTGAATGGGTTTAAAAGTTTTGACGTAGTATTAACGAGACCAACCGAGTATCACTCATTAAATGGCTAATAATAGTAAGAATAATATTGGTCATTTGCGAGGGAAACATCGTAGAAGAAAAGTTACTTAGAATTGTCTGAACTATTGATTGCAAAGATAAAATTCTTAATACTCGGATGGTGGTAATAATAATAATAGTATTACTATAAACTACGTATAGAATAATCGTGTAATTAATTCAGGAAGTTATATTAATGAAAATTTTTTTTAATTTGAATAACAAAAGTTGTTTGCCAAATTTATTTTACGTTACATATTATTTATCAGAAAATAATAAATGGATTTTTGGATTATTAATAACCTTAGTATACTGGTTTTGTTTGGTTAGGTTAGATTAGGATATGTTAGTTAGGTAAGGCTAGATTAGGTCTGGTTCCGTTAGGTTAGATTAGGTTAGGATAAATTAGGTTTGGTCACGATACATTAAGTTAAATTTGGTTAGGTTAGATTAGATAAAGATAAGTTAAAATTTCGTTAGGTTGTGTTAGGTTTCACTCCCATTTCACTTGTCACACGTAAAATTTTGGAGCATATCGGTCCCCACCTACACATACGTATTTCATGTATAAGCCGTAATTATATTTTTAAGTAACTTTGGTGTACATGTGTCTAGGTTCTTTTCGTATATGTTTTTTTTAAGATATGAAATTCACCTCTAGGATTATGGAAAGGCCATTAAAATCTTATGATTACGTAGTTCGTATGTTTTTGTATACAGGCCGATTTGTAAGTCCAATATCTGTGTTTTGTAAATGTACCAAAAGTTGTATTTTTCCTTGAATTTAAAAATTAGCGCCAAACAGTTGATTGGCACTGAAGATGTAATGGTAACTGTTCCTATAATGTACATGACACCTGCTCACGGATAGATACCATAAAGGTGTCGAACCTGTAAGAGCAGTGTATATATTAAGGCGGAATAGATTCAATACAGGTTAGCAAGGCAACACAGATGGTAATCTTGGCATGGCAGGTCCAACGTCATTGATGGAGAGCCAGATAAGCGTCACTCTTCACCTCCAGTACCTGACTAACTCCCTCCCTGTCTACCAGCCCAGCACCCACTCTGCTCTACCCTCAGTGTCCTATATTTGTAATCATCTTCCTCGGGTGTCGACGTTTTGTGTTGATAGAAACTTAAGCCATGCAATAGCTTGTGTCGTCAGTAAAACTTAAAGTATAGATAAGGAAGGTCCAGTGATATGCAATTAATATCCTGGTTCATACAGGCTGCGACACCCAGGTTACAAGGAGTTCCATTCTCTGTACCAGTATACGTTTTTCCTTTGTTAAAAATTTAGCTGTAGGTGAACTGTCAGAATGATTCCCTACATTACCACTAAAGTTTTTGTATTGTGTATTGGCAGAGAGATGAAGGAGCAACACAGTGATTTCCCCTGAGCACCTGACGACAGGATACCAGTTGAACAACGAACACGTCAAGTGACCTCATACTGCACCTCCACTCGAGTTTGACCTGCGTAGGGATACTCCACAGGCTCCTCCAGTACGTCACTACAGCTGCCACCACGGCATTGAGACAAGTAATGTAGTGTCATATCCATAAATAATATCAACTTTAGCAACACATTAACGTATATTTTCCTACCGTATTGTCATCAACATATATATCATCTTCACTGCAATCACCATCACTAAAATCACTGCCGTCACAACCATCCTCATCACTGCAGTCACCACCAGCATTGAATTACCATTATTACCACCACCAACAACGCTGCCGCCCCTATCACACAGCGACCCCCAGATTGCCCCAGTAGCTCTTCACCTCCGCCAGCGTCCCGTTGTTACCCTGGCAGGAGCTGTTACTTGGTGTTGACACCATTTCAGGTGGCAGGTCTCAGATTTATACACATGGAGTGAAAGAAAAATCATCAAACAATTTTAACAATTACATTATGTTTCTAGTCTGGAAAGTAGATTTACAAAAACTGGAAAACACCTGAGATCGCACTACCTGTGTAATCTGTGTGTGTGTGTGTATGTGTGTTTGTGAGCTGGATAGAGCACATTAAACCTGACAAAAGACAAATGTAATCCTATTTGATTGCAGAAACAGGACCGCCTCACGCAAAGCTGTATAATGGATGTGATGGTTTACAGAGAAAGTGTGACAAAGAAAATTCGTGTTGTGATGAGTTACTAAACCAAGATATTTATAGAGGCGATGTAAATAAAACACCAAGAGGAGGAACACTGTGTAGGGTGATGACAACAGTTACCACCAGCAAGAGATACACAAGACAATGTACAATATTCATTAGTCATAAAAACGTTTATATGACTGGAACTAAAGATTATTGAACGAGATAGGAACATAAACTTCAACGACACGAGGAGATAAAGGGGCGGCGGGTATAATTATATTTACATCTTGTTCATCTCAAATGTTGGGTAAGATGAGAGTGGGGTCCCAGAGGCAGTGTAGATATAGTACACGTTAGATTAAAGATTTTTGTCGAGACATGATAAGGCGGTGTGCACTCGATGCTTTCCCTAACTAAAATGCTAATTACCCATTTACAGTTGGGTGAACTGGCTCTATCCCAGGTTCGAACCAGCGGCTCTTGAGGGAAGAAGCGAGTACTGTATCCACTCGACCGTCTCACCCCAAGCTAATAATACCATACTAGTATATTAACTTGACATTATAAACTTAACTCCAATTATGTAACGACTTTCAAATTAAACGATTTAACATTCTGAAAAGTGCCGTATGTTGATCAAGGAATAAATAATGTTGGCAATCTTCGTGTTCATTTCTATGTTGAACACGTAAACAACAGCACCAGGTAGACGAGAGTTGTCCTGTGTTCACTCTTGTGTGTTGAACAAGATAGTAACGATCGGTGAAGCTCCAGCCCACAATAGGGAGGTTGACCCCTTCAGGAGTCATTGACTCGACCCAACGCTTGTACCAGGCAGAGGCCAAGTATTGTTGTCCCTACTGAGACCTAGAATTAACTCCTCAATCTTTCTAATGTATCTAATCTCTCCCTCCCTTCATCCATCCATCTAGGCATCTATGAGTGGGAGAATCAGGTGACCCCATGAGCAGGGCAGCACTAGGGGGGTGATCACCTTCCCGCATATTGCTTCACCTTGCCCTGGTTGTGAGCAGGAGAGAAAGTTTGTGCTTGCTTTATCGCCCGTGTGTGTGTGCGCGTGTACAGAGGACGTTTACAGTCTCTAGGGACCAAAATCAGTATCATGCTAACTTTGAACCCACGGCATGACCCATAAGAATGTCTAGTGTATATTTGGTGGAGTTATAATAGCGAGAATAATTGTTTTACCTCTAAAATATTTCTACATTTTCTGTAATGAGGAAGATTTTGTTTTTCAGCCCAATAAACACGTGAAAATATTAATGTGTAAGAATTGATAATTTTAATGTGGTGTGTTACCTGGTATTTAATGAAGTGTTTTGTTTTAAAGTGACCCCACAGTGAGAGAGGTCTGCACATTGCAGTGTAGTGACGCAGTGATGGCCAAGGCACTGCAGGGGTCTACGAAGATCAACCTAAGTGACACCGACTCTCGTGACGCCCTCCAAGGTCATAAATCAAAGTCGTCGAGGGTGAAACCTGCCCAGGAGGAACAACAAGTCCTTGTAAACAACTTCCGTGTTGGTAAAGTAGAAAGGAAAAAACGCAAAGAAGGTAACAAAACAAAGGATAAGAATAGGTGGACATTGAAGAAAAGGGAAACTAACAAATCCAGAGACAATGTTGGTGAGGCACAAGGGGGGAGTAGAATAAACGAGTGTATAAAGGAGGTCAGAGACTACACCGACGACCACCTGGCTGATGACGAGATGTCCACGCAGAGTAAAGACAGCAGCGCCAGCAAGACACGCGGTGCTACTGAAAGCAAAGGCGACCCAAGCAACGTGAATCGTTCCAACGACGGCAAGAAAACTCGAAGGATCGACAATCTGCTGCTTAAGGCAAGGAAGAGTCTTGACAAGCGTCTGTCTAACCCGGACAAAGAACCATTACGCAGCAGACGCAGTGATCAGGAGCAACAGGGGTCAGGGCATTACAGCACCCCTGAGGCCACAGCAGGACCTCAAAGGCGGAAGAGTATGGTGACAGTGCCGAGTTTTATGGTGGTAGAGGCGTGGGGCTCACCAGTGCCGCGCCTTGACCACATGGGCGCCACGGACCCACTCTTCCGTCGGCGATCGCTGGACTCCCTCCATGACTCCAAGGACTCAACTGAAGTCCTCCCTCCACAAGAGAGGTAAGTGAGACGAAATTTTGATGTTATATTTTGCAAGGTTTTGTCGCTCTCTTGATCAGTGTGTTGTAATACTTGATGGGTAGGATAATTACTCAACTTTCTGACTAGTCCTCACCAGACTGACAGCGGTCTTCCTGAATTTGGCAAACTGACTGATCTTATCTTGTCTGAGTGGTGCGTCAGACGTAAATGACAAGGGAACAGTTCTCTCAGTTCTCTCCAGGGAACTCCACCAGCGTTATGTTTTGCACTATCACGTATTGCCTCCCATGTAGTCGGCTTTATCACCCATTGTCTTGTGTACTGTGGGGGCGTCACGCATTGCCACTTAGGATGTCTCCTCGTCTCCAAACAAGTGAGCAAATTTACTGCGTCATTAGTTAGTGGCCGGAAGCTAGTGAGGCTATTTTTAAACATATTTTATTATTGTTGTACTAGTGTTAGTTATTATTTTGCCAGAGACTCGTATGCATTGTCACATCCAATGAGTAAGTTAGAGCTTCCGAATATACTTCATTAATGTATTTATTTGTTACACTATCTTTTACTTCTTGATTACTGTTTAGGTAAAGTTGGGTTAGATTACCTTCAGGGTGTTTAATTCTATTGAGATCCAGTCCTTGATATAAATATTAAGATTATCCCCCCGGTGGATGATAAAATTCTTCGTTGTTAATGTTTTAATGTATTACTGCGCTTCATGAACTAATGTCTTTTATCGCATATTCTATAGTCATCAACAATAAAAGGAATTAAGCGTGGAAATGGAGATTCAGGAGGAAGACAAATTATTTTGAATAGCTTGGGACGTTGCGTTGAACATCGAACGAAAACGGAATATGTTGACAAAATATATCAGAAATAATGCAAACTAATACATTATACTGCACTGACAAACCTTTTTTTAAACTTTAAGACTTTTGTATGGTGGGCTCTGTGGATCTTCAAATATCTTTTAAATATAAAGAGCGTCAGTAAATGCAATAGGTATATAATAGTCTCCGGCGCACAAAAGCCGTCATTACCTCACCGCAGCTGACGCACGCGCTCCTCTGCCCTATATTGATTATTACACCGACATAATACACTCGTCCGATTCTTTTGAATGACCAAAGCCGGGTTTAGCAACTTGTTACTAATTTTATTCCTGTCGTTGTGTTTATGATTATTTCACTGTATTATTGTTTATGTCTTTCTAGGGGGGGTGTAGGTTAGGGCTACGTATGTTAAAATGTTGTATGTGCTTTAAGAAAAAAATATATATTTAATAGTTGTACACTGATAACATAAAACATAGTATTTATTGAAATGTATCAGAATCAATATCACTGAGGACAATTCATGCAAAAATCTATATTATGTTGTTATACTTCTCATCACACAAAAAAGTTAAAATAATGGAAACTCTTAATCCACTTAGTTATGTTTACTGAAGGTGGGGTCATCGCACCTCAGGCAGGTGAGGGGGCAAACTGCTGTCCAATCACATGTACAGGTAGAAAGGGGACAAGCGATTCGCTGAACCCTAAAGGGAGTCAGCTCAGTCAGTCAGTATCGTGAGCCAGTGGGAGGAGGGTGTTGGTGTGTGTTACGCAGTGTTGTCCCACGTTATCTTCCTCTCCCACGTATTTATATATCGTCGTTCATTGTCAGGTTTTCCCGTATACGTTTGCTAAGAAGATGGAACTCTCGACTGTGTATTCTGATGAAGTGCAGTGATGTTTGGTGTTGACTAGGACGTATTATGAATGATTGCTGTGGTGTTGGCGTGTGCTCTGTGTAGCGGCGGCGGCACGTGTCCGAAATTTACTCCAATTTGCGCATTATTATATTTAGGAAACGTTTGAGAAAGTTTTAACTGCTGAAGCTGTCTGAATTTAAATTAAGTGTGATGTGCCTACAAAAGTTTAAACTGCGCAAAAGTTATAGAGACAAATTTGCGAACTTGCAAGGCTATAGTGGGTTCTTTGAAGTCCCTTGTTATTTGAGTTTATAAGAGTCGCTCGATGAAGTTACATATATTAAAACATGATTATGTTATCATCTTTTCCAACACCAGATTGCATTCACATCCTCTGTAACATTTACCTGATAATTGAAAAAGGAATTGTAAAGATCTTGACGTGGACGGCTGTGGTGAGCTTCAAATTTACCAAAAACGTTTAAGCCTATCAGACGACGAAGAACAGAAAATTATGGACTATGCAACAATGCTTTTAGACGTGTAACTTTAAAACTATATTTAAAAACATCAGGGTTTTTCACAGCATTTAACTCGACAGGAAAGGTTGCGTGAGTGTTTGTACTTGAGGAGAACGTGGTGCAGCTCCCAAGAATTCCCATGTGGCTGTAAATTCTGAGTGATTTACGCACTAGAATTTTCTCCATCGTTGCAGGTCAGCAGATCTCTGAGGGTGGGGTGTTGTGCGAGTGTTGGTCGTTAGGTAAAATTAATCCTGGCCTGACCTAACAGTGTTTAGGTTTGTTAAATAAGAGTTGCAGGCATTTTGTTCGCGTGCAAGAAATATCAGGAGTCAAAATACTTACAGGTAAAGGAGAGTCAGGTCATCCCGACTACATGATGGGTAAATTTTAGTCTCGGTTGGTACGTTAGCGTTATATTAACTTACAAACGCCGCAACCGCCATGGCGCTTTGATATCCCGCATTCTGATATATGAATTTATACTCGATTTTATACACTGAATGCGGCAGAATTAGAAAATAGGAAATACCTTGCATAGCTCCGCAAGCTTCTTTCAGTTTTGCCCATATATGTATAGACTGGGACTTGCCCTCAAAGATAAGGAAGCTTACACAAAGCTTGCACGATTTTAACTTGCCATACAGAGTTCCATCAGTTGAAAATATTATTAATTATAAACGTAGATTCCCTGATATGTAGCTTGTACGTAGATAATTCCCGTCGCCGCTGTAAAACAAAGTCCCGGGCAGGAGGGAGGGTGGAGCCCACTGCTCTATAGTACACTAATACAGCGGCGGGCACTGGGGGTGTGTCCCTCACCATCACATTACTACTCATGTTACGTAATAATGGATTTTATACATCTAGACCTATTCGTTAATATATATATATATATAAACGTCTCTGTCTGTATGTATATAATCCCGGGGTAGTACTGAGGTGTTCATCTTTGGGTCGATATTTTAGTCTTTCTTACAACAGTATTGTGGTTGTTTATTAGTTGTTGATGTTAAATATTCATTGTGTTTCTTTGTTGTCGAGGTCAGATAACACACCAAATATATGTAACCGGAACATTATCTATAGCTGAACAAATCGAGTGTAGTATCGCTGACGAAGTACAGACATGAACCAGACCTAAAGAAGTTGACTGGAAACTGTTGTTTGTGACCGCCATCTTGAGCCATTGGTGGGCAGTATGACTGGACTTAAGGTCGTAAAAGTCGGCATTACACCCACAAGTATGACCAGAGAGGTCAGCTAGACCCTCACACTTGGAAAATCACAAGAAGGCAGGACCTCTTCAAGCACCATGGTGGAGCGAAGGACTAGCCGGCGGGGCGATTCGCCAGGGTCTCGCGAGCTCATCAGGTCTGGGGGCTCAGGAGGGTCCGAGGGCTCCGGCCTCAACGGCAGTCGAGGCTTCACAGGACATTCCACGCTGCCTTCCTCCAATGACGGGTAGGTACTGTTGGTGGTGCTGGGCAGGGGCGCTCGACCTCCCCCAGCGACAGGTAAGTGTTGGTAGCGGCCCTAGACAGGTACGAGACAGTTAAGACATAAGGGTGACAGCCTTGGTAAGTCACCACCTAAGAGTGTGACCTTTGTGGTGAACGTCTTAACCCTCCAGCATCTTGTAGACGTAATAAAGTGTTTTTCACTTGAACATCAATATCTCGCCCACTCCCTCATGTCTTTACACGATCATCGTCCTTTCTCCCACTTCCTGTCCTCATGGCCTAACTAACCACTTGTCATAAATATCTTAACCCGCTTGATTGATCCTCTGTATCATTCTTCGATATATTCTGTCGTTATTCTAGTTTAATCCTCGTGGACCGCGCTTCCTTGTCACTATTTTATCTCCTACCCCTCCCTCCCCCAGCCCTTACCAGGTCAAATCTAGGAGGATCATCACACAAGGGTGGGAGAAAGAGATAGGATCAGTGTGTGTGTGTGTGTGGCAGGTGATGGCTCAGGCACCATGAGGCCAACAGTAGTGGTGCCATTACCAACATAACTTAGCGAGACGTGATCTACTACAATATTCCCTCCTGGCTCCGCGTGATACTTCAGTCATAAGTGGGGTAAAACATTTGCTTAGTGTTGCTTCTATAACCTTGTCATTGAGTAAACACAATAGTAACATAAGAAGAATTGTTTAGTTCATTGGAGGACTTAAGATGATGTCATTGGTCAAAAGGAATATACTGAAGTCAAAGTCCTTCAGTGGCGGCGAACCTGGGAAGGAAGCCAAACAGTCGGTGTTGACCTAAGTTCTCCCATATGTCTGAGAGTTATTTGGCTACTGTCCCTCAGTATCGTTATGAACATTTGTTCCAGGCTGTTCCCTGCTAATTATCCGTTCCTAACCTGACGGAGGTGAAAGGCAGATCAATTTGAAATAAGAATATCCTAGTTGCTCGTGGTAAGAATCTATTGACCTTAATGTCCCACTGTACTTAAAATCAAGTGTCCTTTGCTTGGATTATGGGGCGCGTGGCTAGAATATAATGCTAGAACTTTGCCATTTTCGGCGGTCAGAGTGATGCGTCTTTTGAGTGTCTTGGTATTTTAGAGAGTGCGAGACGATAAATCCCTCATATCCTGCGTCGTCTCGAATAGGAGTTCAGTTTTATTGAAAAGTTCCCACCACAACTCTATAGTGAGAGCTTGTGTGGTGATGATTGTTACTTGGGTAGATATAAGTAAACGGGGTGATTAATACTTTGTCTTATAGTTTAAGTTTTATGTTGCATTATTTCTCCTTGACTGAATTAATGTAGAGTTTTGGAAACGTTTCAAATTTGTTCACCATCCACGGCGCTCTGGTGTCGGCACTTCTTGTGATTGCAATGGAAGTGTGCTGTGGAATGTACAGCCGTGAGTGTGTGTTTATTTTTGTACGAGTATTGCAGTATGTGTATTTGTGTGTTTCCTCGCATATATGCAAGGTTTATAATTCTGTGCGTGTTTTGGGAGTGTGTGAAATTGATTTTTGCGCGGTTGAATGGTCAGCTGTGGGGGTTGTGGTAGTGATGGTTGGGAATGTGCATTTGTTGACAGTGTTGCGAGGGAGCCAGCCTGGTGGCCTCCACCCGAACGCGCCATTTACTAGTTTCTCCCTCCCACGTTCAGATTGTCTCAAGTTAATAATACTCGTATATAAATGAATCCCACATTGAAGAGGAGAAACATTTGGAGAGTTAAAATGCTTTGGAAGTAGAGAGGGTAATAATATTCTTTTTAATGTAATATTATCATACTTTGGGTGGTAATAAAATCACACTCTTTTGGGTAATGATATTGTAATATTGAGGGTAATAATAATATACTTTTGGGAGTAATAATATAATACTTTTTGGGGTTATAATCATACTCTTGGGATAACTTTTATATATTTTAACTAAGGCATGTTTGGGTAGTGAATATTCAGAAGTCTGATTCTCAAAGTGTACGATAAAGGCCTTTTAGTTACCGCATATTTAAATTGAGGTAACCGCAACTATATACGTTCGTTTAACACCATTTTAAAAGTAGGATATTAGCTTCAAGGATTTATTTTATGTATATGGAATTTGGTTCATATCAAAATGATCTGGTTATTATTGATAGCAACTGCCATAAAGAAGATATAATGATGTGTGTTTCGTAGAATTACTCCACAAACCATTACTGGTACTATGTCGATCATTTATTCAAGGTACCGAGAATTTGAGATGTTTAATGGTGTGACATATGGAGCCAGATGAAGGGCAAGTGGCTGGTGGACTTGAATTTTATACCGAATTATTATTATTGTTTTTTAATTTCTATCGTTTCTAGAGTTCTTGGAAAATTTTTCTCCTATTTGGGGGGAAATATTAATCGTCTTTGTTTTAACGAGTAATGCATATGAGTTTGTTTAGAATATTTTGTAATTGAGTAGTACTAATGTTCGTTTTTATCTTTTGCAGGCTGGGGTCGGCTAACTCGCTAGACCAGACAATGACAAGGTCGCTGGGATCTCGAGGTTCCCTGTGTGATGAGGCTGCCGACGAATGTGACAATATTAATGTCGTTATCAGGTAGGTCTACTCCCCTATTGTCTGTCACCCATCTCGGCCATGTTATCGTGCGTTTTCTACAGACTAACAATATTTTCATGTTTTATATTTACCATTTTTCAGTCATAAGATCAAGAATTTTTATCCCCCGAAGGAAAATTGAAGGATGCGAGTGTGTTATTGTCTGTGTGTAATATCTGCATAGTAAAACTTGATTATTAAGTTTTTACTGTAGTTGTGAGCGTGTAATAGAAGTTGTGGTGTGAGGATACTAGGCTTGGTGCTGTACTGGTCCAGGAAATTTGCTGCTCAGAAACCCATGACTGTTGCTGCTATGGTTGGTTTGGGAGGCATATTTCTAAAGATGGGTTACAACTAGTTATTTTCTTATTTTTTATAAGTTATGACATTGTTACAAATATGAAGAACTCTAAGTGAACATTGCTAGTTCTGCTGTGTGTATGATGTTAGTTAGCGCGAACAACAGTGGAATGTTTAATTTTTATTAGCAAGTCACGGCTCATGGAATCAGAAATGAACTTTATATAATATGTTTGTTATAGTAGAGGCTCTGTCCGCAATACCGTGTCTGTACTATAACTTTTAAATTAGTTACGGTATTGCAGTGAAACTTTGTATACTTTTATGTCACGAAGAAAATTAAGAATATGTACTTCAGTTCAAGATCCAATTTCAGCGTCAAGAGTTTTTGGGTTAGGTTAGGTGACGCTGCTGAAGACAAATCATCCCTCATCCTCAAAAAGTATTATCAGTAAGGTTAGTAAAGACTGGAATTGGGCAGATTAACTCGGGCAAACAAGGAAACAAGCGGCCAGAACGAGATAACACGACTAAAAGGTTACCTACACTCCTGCCCTACATTGTACTGAACCCAAGTGAGATAATACAATGCCCAGTAAGTCAAGGTAGCGTGTAGAGGATATTTATGGCCTTGGCTGACTAAATGATGAGCTTACAGTAGGCTTACCACCTCCCCTGACCCACTAACCAAATGTCAGGCGGGTGGAAGCTGACGTGTGAGATATAATTCATTGTGTGGGGTAAAGGGCACACACTGTATGCTTAGAACTAGGCCATGTCATCTTGTCGGTGATATAACTCGTGATGCCCCACTTCCCGTATGCCCTCATAGAGACACTGAAACTATCCTGGTGTTGTAACTATCCTGGTGGTGTAGTTATGAGGTGGTGAATATGATGCGGAGGTATTTAAAGACGGATTACCTAACGGAGAGATCAAGGTGTAGATGCATCGCCAGTACGAGCAGTTAAAAGCGTCTGGCGTTCCCATTACTCATCAAAGGAATGTTCGTTCGCCCCTTTTGCCTGCACTGTCGATGTTTTTTTTTATAATACTGAAGTAATGGTCATAGAGGTTGTGTAAAAGATCACTGCATATAAAACGTACAGAAGAAAACTGAACACTTGGTTGCGTCAGACGAACGATCGCCGGCCAACGACAGTAACTGCATTGGTGTTGTGTACGGTACTAGCGGTTTTAGTAATTATTGTAATTGAAGTAATCTTAATACAAGAACCTAATCATGGCTGTTATCCGGTAATTACACCCCGCTGTTATACGTACTCCCATTATCCCAGTAGTACAGTAATTAAGACCTGGGAGTGGTGGTTGACGGGTGGTGGTGGTGGTGGTAACATCATACAACAGGTGAAGTAACAAGATACATAGGTAACGCAACACCAAAGTAACAAGTAACATGACATGCATGATAAAGTAACGTTCTCATATTAAAGACAAATCGGAAAATGTCGTTTGTTTCTTTATTTTGAAATTTTGAAACTATTTAAAGTGGGTGATATAATTTGACCTTTGTTTTACTTGTTTCTCTGTGTTGTTGTTTTACTTGTTTCTGTGTTGTATTTTTCTTGCTTTTGTGTTGTTTTACTTGCTTCTCTGTTTTGTTTTACTTGTTTATGTTATTGCTTTGTGCTATTGTTTATTGGCGCTACCCAAGACTCTCCGTGATCATCGTCTTCAAAGGGTTAAATCATCGTCTTCAAAGGGTTAAATCATCGTCTTCAAAGGGTTAAATCATCGTCATCAAAGGGTTAAATCATCGTCTCAAAGGGTTAAATCATCGTCTTCAAAGGGTTAAATCATCGTCATCAAAGGGTTAAATCATCGTCTTCAAAGGGTTAAATCATCGTCTTCAAAGGGTTAAATCATCGTCTTCAAAGGGTTAAATCATCGTCTTCAAAGGGTTAAATCATCGTCTTCAAAGGGTTAAATCATCGTCATCAAAGGGTTAAATCATCGTCATTAAAGGGTTAAATCATCGTCTTCAAAGGGTTAAATCATCGTCTTCAAAGGGTTAAATCATCGTCATCAAAGGGTTAAATCATCGTCTTCAAAGGGTTAAATCATCGGCATCAAAGGGTTAAATCATCGTCATCAAAGGGTTAAATCATCGTCTTCAAAGGGTTAAATCATCGTCTTCAAAGGGTTAATTCATCGTCTTCAAAGGGTTAAATCATCGTCATCAAAGGGTTAAATCATCGTCATCAAAGGGTTAAATCATCGTCTTCAAAGAGTTAAATCATCGTCTTCAAAGGGTTAAATCATCGTCATCAAAGGGTTAACCAATTACTTAACACTAATTCGAGACAATGTTGACAATAATTTTTAAAAGACTGTATAGTAATGAGTGGACAGTTGTGATTCATAGTAATTTCATGTTTATATTTTGGGGGTGGGGGAGGGGGTTTGTTTACGTGTAATTAAGCTTATTTGATGCTATTTTGTTTATGGTAGAGGGTTGTTTATACGTATTAAGCTTATTTGATGCTATTTTGTTGAGGGTGAGAGAGGTTTGTTTACATTTATTAAGCTTAGGTCAACAAGTGAGGCAGGTGTAACGCAAGTGTAAGGCAGGTGTAGTCTTGCATCTACACACCACCACGAACTTTTAACTCAGTGACTCAGGCCGCTGTGTTGGATGTAACTATCTTGAGCACAGGTTATGGGGTCAGATTATACCTTCTTTTGTGGACTAAGACAACGGGATTAACTTAGTGGCTACCTACAGAAATAGCCTATGATTGTAGTACCCCCTCCTCTCTCTCTCTCTCCCTCCCTCCCTCCCTCCCTTCCTCCCTCCGTCACCCCCGAGTACCAGATGTCTTGTGGGGAGGTGGTGCAGATGGAGTGAGGAGAGGTAAGGTGGTACACAGGTGGGAAAGAAACAGGTGAGATAACAGGAAGAAGAAAATTAGTGAGAAAATAATTGGTAGGAGGAGGAGGAGGAGGAGATGGCTCATGGGGATACATCAGGTAGTGGTATACATAGTGAGAAGTATTAGAGAAGTATTGAGAGTTGTATTTAATTTCTGCTCTAATCAATCATACCTGCTGTCATTTCTACCTGAGGGCGGGGGTTAATGGACCCAGGATGGTGGCTAGCGGGAGGTAGGGGGAGACTTATGCGTGTGCGGCAGGGGGCGCGTGTGTGTGTATGAACCCTCCCCAATGATGCTCTCACGCGCACACACACACTTGTGCTACCTCGTCAACACCTGGTATCTGTCTCTCCACGCTGCTCTCTCCTCCTCTTGGTACAGGAACTACCTCACACAGGAAGACAGGTGGAAGAGTTGTCAGACGTGTGGTGGTGGAAATACTGCAGCAGGTGTGGGCGTGTGGTGGTGGTGAAGTACTGCAGCAGGTGGCGGGCGTGTGGTGGTGAGTACTGCAGCAGGTGTGGGCGTGTGGTGGTGGTAGTACTGCAGCAGGTGTGGGCGTGTGGTGGTGGTAGTACTGCAGCAGGTGTGGGCGTGTGGTGGTGGTAGTACTGCAGCAGGTGTGGGCGTGGGTGGAGGAAATGGCAGAGGAACGCATATATACAACTTGTACACACTTTAGATGATTTATTCCGTACAAATAAAATAAAAGAATTACACTTTTCCAGCGAGTCACGACATACTGAATATATTATAACCAGGTAACGATAAAAAAAACTCCGCGCACCTGACCATAATTTTTTTTTTCTTCAATGCAAAAATCAAGATTCAAGTTTGGGGTCATGGTTGTTGAACTTTAAACTACAGCCTTCATAGTTTAAAGTATTTGTTTAACTAAGATCACAATCGCCTAGAAATACAAACAGCCACCCCCCTCCCCCCATGTAGCCAGATAGTGGTATGGCGTGTATTGTACGGGGGTAGTTTTAGGTCAATGCCATACGGGTATTGACCAGAGCAGATGGGTGTGTCGACGGGGTTTGATAACGAGTGGCCATTACCACAACTACTATCAATTAACGAATAATAATAGGGTTAATTTTGGTAGGTGTAGTCGTTAGGAAAGTGCCATTAATTAATTTATTGTACACGTTCCTTCCTGTAAACTTCTGAACGTAAATAAGACTTGTTTAGTAAGGAAGTCCTATATATTTCTTGTTTCTTAGTTTTCTTTCCTCCCTCCCTCCTTAGTTTTGCCTTGTCGTGTTAGGCTCAAATCCCTCCCTTCTACCAACAAGACGCGTTAGTGTGGCATACTGAGAAGCCTTGTATAAATGAACGGCGGCAACTAATTGATGTTCCGAGTACCCCCAAGAGGTTCATTGTTTCCTCTGAGGTTCAACAATAACAACGCCACCATTCAGAGAGCATTAGTTATGTTACCCTACACCTCATAGATCCGACCCATTGTGGTGAGAAATACGGCAAGAGGGACAGTTATGGATTATTGAGGCACACAGGACCCCTCTCCCTTCCTTCCCTCCCTCTCCCTCCTCCCCTCTCCCTCCCCCCCTTCCCTCTCCCCGTTCCTCCTTCCTCTCCCTCCCTCCCTCTCCCTCCCCTCCCTTCCCTCCCCCTCCCTTCCCTCCTTCTCTCTCCCCTCCCTCCTTCTCTCTCCCCTCCCTCTCCCTCCTCCCCTTCCCTTCCTTGCTTCCCTCTCCCTCCCTCCCTCTCTTCCTTCCCCTCACAACACGCGCCCCCAGCTGACTCACCGTGAACACTACAGTTGCCGGTTCGTCAATATTCTTTTCTTTTTCCTGGAAATGTTTGGTGCTGGTGTATCACGTATGAAATGTTGAGAGTAATATTGAGTGAATTTGTGTATTTGAGTATAATATTAACCTTTATTTTGGTATTGGTAATCTGACCTAAAATTGACCTTGGTACCTGGTGACAGTGACCTAAGTTTGCCCTCATAACAGGTGATATTGGTGCCAGGTGAAATGGATTGAACTTGACCTCTTGATGTCAGGTGAGAGGAACTATATTTGACGTCATGGTAGTACATGAACTGGTACGTCAGGAGAGGTCATTAACTGCGTCATGTGGTGGCCAACTATTCATGGATGTGTCGAATGGCTCAACTGTTCTGTGTGATGTATTAAGTCAAAACACCGGGACGACACTTCATCTCTCACTGTACATAGATGTGTATATTCTGACACATACATACATACAGTACACCTAAACATACACACGTTATGAACACATACTAACACACACACATAATCATCTTGTTTACATGATATTTCCGCCTTCGCTTTGTATACTCAACCATAGAATATAATTAACATATAGTACAAAAACCTTAGTGTCGTGTTGTATGGTCGTTTTCTCTAGTCATTATAATTTTCTTTCGTTATTGTATTTCTTTCTTTTATTTTATCACGCAAGTCCCCATTTCGTAGGTAAAAGTCTATATTTTTCTTCAATAATTACAAACGATGTAGGTGAACTCCCCGTGGTATAGTATATCCTAAATAAAGTGGTTCTTGCTCCTATTGAAATTAAGTAGTTCTCGGTCCCACTGAAATTAAGTAGTTCTCGGTCCCATTGAAATTAAGTAGTTCTCGGTCCCACTGAAATTAAGTAGTTCTCGGTCCCACTGAAATTAAGTAGTTCTCGGTCCCATTGAAATTAAGTGGTTCTCGGTCCCACTGAAATTAAGTGGTTCTCGGTCCCACTGAAATTAAGTAGTTCTCGGTCCCACTGAGATTATATTATCGTTACTGGAGGCGCGTGTCCGTGATTAGCTGACCTGGTCTGTTTTTATGGCATTCCTGGTTATTGTACCGAGGTTACTACCCTTCCTACCTCAGTACCCCCCTACCCCAGTACCCCCCTACCCCAGTACCCCCCTACCCCAGTACCCCCCTACCCCAGTACCCCTACCTCAGTACTCCTGCCTTGGTACCCCCGTATCAATACCCTCGTTGTGTAGTACCATCCTGCCGAGGTACTGAACACGGGTCCTCTCGCCTAACAAAACAACACCCACTGTAGTAAAGATCTAGGTTAACGAAAGACTATAAGAGAGAAGCACAATGAGTGAAGGAGGTGAATGATGATGAGGTTTGGTTAAAGAGAACAAGAGTAGAAGACACGATAGGGAATGACTTATCTCGGGATCCCATTTGAGGGTTTGTTAAGAGTGGAGTTTAATATGACACAATTTCTGGTTACTTGTCTCGCCTCTTAGCCCATTGAGTCCTGACGGGTTAAATCCTCACCACCAAAGGGTTAAATTCTCCCCATCAAAGGGTTAAATCCTCCCCATCAAAGGGTTAAATCCTCACCACCAAAGGGTTAAACTATGGCTCCTGTGTACTATCCTCATTCAGGAAGTAGACGGAGAAACAGTAGCAGCTTTATGTAACGTGACTCAGTTTAACATGGCAGTAATTGCGGGAACTTGCGCCGTAAAACAAAACTAGATGACCGTGTTTCGTGGTAATAAATAAAGGCCATTGCATGTTGGGGAAGGTGTCTCGTGTTCTTAGAATCTTCCTTGACACTGTGGGCTTGGCGGTCGTGTGGGCGTGGCTGTCGTGTGGGCGTGGCGGTCATGTGGGCGTGACGGTCATGTGGACGGGGTTTTTAGACATGATATAAACGCCTACTTACAAGTGGCCGGCCATCCTCAATCACAGGTGGGAGAGCCATTGTAAACACTAACTACAGCTGTTCATTAGATGATTTAGTTCTAGATAATGATTAAAACTAACATTGATATATAACTGGACAGGTATTGGTTGTACGATAATTAAATCTAAACCACTAGAACTGTTTCACCTGACGAGAGATTGACGTAAAGTAATAAATTGATATTGATTACTGGATGTGCAGGTGAGGGTGGGGGGCGCACACCTGACAGCTCGAATCATGGCGTGTTGTGTGTGTGTGTTTGAGCACCGTCAGTTATACAAGGGATCATAATCAGGAATTGAAATGCGGCACGGTGTGTGTGTGTGTGTGTGCGCGCGCGCGTGCGTGTGTGTGCGTGCGTGTGTGTGCGTGTGTGTGTGTGTGCGTGCGTGCGCGTGTGTGTGTGTGTGTGTGCGCGCGCGCGCGTGTGTGATGAGGGAGGATTTGTACTGACGATGCGGTGGTCATCTCGTGCAGGGCCGCCGTTAACACTGACCTGGTTTTGACCTTCGTTTTAATATCTTGTCGATTTTAGTCATTAAATACTTGCGAGATCTGAGGCATAGTTATCCTGTAGTGACGCAAATAAGGCAAAGTTATCCTGTTGTGATGCAAATAAGGCAAAGTTATCCGGTAGTGAGAATAATCTGTAATGATGACAATAGTTGATCTCTTTCGCCTCTTCTCTCTCCTCGCAACCCTCCTTCCCTCCCATCTCTCTCTCTCTCTCTCTCTCTCTCTCTCTTTTAACCTACACAGTTTAGTTCTCTTGTCTCCCTTCACGTGTCTCTCATTTCTCTTCACGTCACACCTCTCCTCCACCACCCTGCTGACACATCCGTCTCCCCATGGCAACCTGTCAGCCACTTGTCGGAGTCAGCCATAATTATGTAGTCTCCCCTCAACATCACTCCATTTTCTATCTCATTCTGGTAATTCCCCTCAAATTGGCTCCTTCCCCTTAGCAATTACTTTCCACCCCCTCATCCCCCTTCACCCCCCTTTGAGGCATAAAGTCTTTAAAGATCAACTCTGCCCCCCACCCCCCCAGCCACCCCACCTATGTTTACGTGCGCCCCTTTGTGGTAATTTTCAACTACCGGAAGTAATTAAAGAGTAATTAACGATGACTACTTTTGGCGGGGAGTAATTACGTGGGTTGATAAGATGAAATTAGTTATGTTGGTCGATGGGAAGTTGAGAAATGGCTGTAGGAGTGTTTGAGGCAACGGGGGTAAGGTATTCCTGAGGTGGGTACTGCCAGAAAGTGGGGACTGCCAGGGGTGGGTAATGCCAGGGGTGGGGACTGCCAGAGGTGGGTACTGCCAGAGGGGGGACTGCCAGAGGGGGGGGCTGCCAGAGGGTGGTACTACCAAGGGTCGGTACTGCCAGAGGTGGGGACTGCCAGAGGTGGGGACTGCCAGAGGTGGGGACTGCCAGGGGTCGGTACTGCCATATAAATTCACAGACCCCCAACCAGTGTATAGGGTAAGGCAACAATACTTGAACTAATTATTATGACTCGGGAATAATGAAAGAAGGTAGTTAGGTCAATATGAGTAATTAGTGAACATGAAAGAGTAAATTGGTGTTAATGAACTTATGAGGACAAGTGAAGGTATAATGGCGTTATTGTTCGCGTCATTTATACATCAAAGACCTTATGACGTCATCTATACAGCAAGGACTTTATGACGTCATCTATACATCAAAGACCTTATGACGTCATCTATACATCAAAGACCTTATGACGTCATCTATACATCAAGTACCTATTGGCCTCTACTGTAACACACTTAAGACAAAACAAAAATAAGTATATCTTTGTGTGGCAGCTTAAGTGAGTATTAGATGCGTTGTCACATCACCAGTAAGGAAGATAATTTAACTTAACCTTCTCAGAATATGTGTGTGTGTGTGTGTGTGTGTGTGTGGCAGTACCAACCAATAGTCTTATCTACTTGTACTGTATAACTAATCCCCCCCCCTCCCTCCTCCCACGGTCGTAATAACCTGTATTATGACCATGGCTGATCCCTGTTATTCTCACAGTAATTCTCGCCACCACACATGCACCACGTTAGTTATTTTCACAGTGACTTGGGGTGACTGACCTTGGTGTGTGTGTGTGTGTGTGTGTGTTGAGAGGTCATGACTGTCTTCCTGCCTGCATGACACCTCCACCTTTATCTCCCTGTCAGGTCATGTTAGGTCCGCTGTGGAGCTCTGGAGTGTAATCTGATTATTTGGCAAAGGTCATGCTGCAGCTCTCTGTGTCATAGGGTGTCATGAGTTCCCTTCCTGTGTTATAGGGTGTCATGAGTTCCCTTCCTGTGTCATAGGGTGTCATGAGTTCCCTTCCTGTGTTATAGGGTGTCATGAGTTCCCTTCCTGTGTTATAGGGTGTCATGAGTTCCCTTCCTGTGTTATAGGGTGTCATGAGTTCCCTTCCTGTGTTATAGGGTGTCATGAGTTCCCTTCCTGTGTTATAGGGTGTCATGAGTTCCCTTCCTGTGTTATAGGGTGTCATGAGTTCCCTTCCTGTGTCATAGGGTGTCATGAGTTCCCTTCCTGTGTTATAGGGTGTCACTCCAACGTTCTCTAATATCAATTGTACTTGTCGTTATGGTCAGGTTAGGTGATGAAATATTAATGTTTGTTTTTATAATCGTCAGTGTCGGCAGCCATTAATCAGTGAATCATACTGTTGTCTCCTGCAGGTGTCGCCCCCTGAACGATAAGGAAAGACAGCGAGGTGATGAAAACAACTTGATATTCCCGGGAGAGGGTCAGGCGTGGGTGAGTATCCTTCCTTCCTTCCTTCCTTCCTTCCTTCCAGACTTACAATGGTACAGACAGGGGAAGGAAAGGAGTTGCGTTATACCCCTTGTTATATCTTCATTCGGTGCCGTAAGAGGTGATTCGGGATTCGACTTTTGTCTCATGGATCGAGCTTCGATTCACCCTCCTCGACTGGCCATCACAAGGAGTATAAACTAAACCTTTTCCTTGACTATACACCAATATATCTGAGTTATAACTTGACCATTGTATTAACTCCTCGGTATTACGTCTTTGCAGTAGTACCAACACAGAGAAGTTTTTTTTATTATTTTTTATTCGTAATTATACTGACTGTTTTGGTTTAGTTATGCTGACTACTGTAGGTTAATGCCCCCTCAGTAGTACCGACAATGGCCGCTCTTATTACCGACACACGCAATAGCCAGAAATTTAATTATATATTCTTTTGATGACATGATTGCTAGTTATTTGTGTAATAATATAATTTTCCTAGTAATGTTGTAATCAATTATATTTTTCTTACCGGACGTTTTTTTTTGTGATTTGTTTTATCTTTTTATTCGTATCAATTTCCTTTTGTTTATAGTTTGAATGAGATTGTTTATTTCCCACGATTAAAAGGTGAGTGGGGGAGTGGGGGTGAGAAGGGGGGAGTGAGGTGAATGGGTTGAGAGGGTGAGTGGGGGTGAATGGGTTGAGAGGGGTGAGTGGGGGTGGGAGAATGGGTTGAGAGGGGTGAGTGGGGTGAATGGGTTGAGAAGGGGTGAGTGGGGGTGAATGGGTTGAGGAGGGGTGAGTGGGGGTGAATGGGTTGGGGGTGAGTGGGGGTGGAGGAATGGGTTGAGGGTGAGTGGGTTTGAGAGGGGTGGTGGGGGTGAATGGGTTGAGGAAGGGGTGAGTGGGGGGTGAATGGGTTGAGGGGGTGAGTGGGGTGAATGGGTTGGAGAGGGGGTGAGTGGGGGTGAATGGGTTGAGGGGGTGAGTGGGGGTGAATGGGTTGAGGGGTGAATGGGTTGAGGGAGGGGGGTAGTGATGTAATCCGTGACAGTATTATAGCTTGATATTTTACCACAGTCACTGTTAGTTGAGAGGGGGTGTAGGTGTGTTGGACGTAGTGGCGACTCGTTTTAGTTACACCCAAGCTCTTTGTTCACGGAGGTCTTGAGACACACACACACACACACACACACACACACGGGGTTGTGAGGACAGACTTAAGGTAGCAGTAATATACAACCTAGATCATGACAAGAGCTATTAGATGTCTCTGTCTGTCTGTCTATGGGACTTACTTTCACTTTTCAACCAAATCTCACCTAACCTCTCCTCACCTAACCTCACCTCACCTAACCTCTCCTCACCTCACCTAACCTCTCCTCACCTAACCTCACCTCTCCTCACCTCACCTAACCTAACCTCACCTCACCTAACCTCACCTCACCTAACCTCACCTCTCCTCACCTAACCTCACCTAACCAATACCCAGATAGTGTTCGGGTGATTGATCTTCAGGTGATATGAACAGGGTATAGGTAATCTGATCCGTTGAAATGATCGTAAGTTTTATTAATCGAAGTAATTAATTAAAGTTCAATACAGTAAGTTTATCATCTATATCGATAATGTTTTGGTAGATTAATTATGATCATTAAGGGGGGGAGGGTGATGAGGGGGTGATGAGGGGGAGGTTATGGGGGTTCAGGGGAGAGGGGAAGGTTCAGGGGGTTGGGGGGGGAGGTTCAGGGGTGCGTGACGTAATACAACTTAAGTGAGGTCTTGGTCACGTGTTTGGAGGAAGGGAGGGGGGTGCCCAGTGTGTTACTGTGGTGGCCCCTCCCTCAAATCCCTCCCTCCCTCTGTTGTTGTCCACCTACGCCTTCCTTCCCTCCATCGTCACGTCTCCTGGCCTACTTACGGCCGCCCTTGCGACAATCACCCTCCGGCTGACCTTTTCTCTAGAGCTCGACTTCCAACACTACTCGTCCTCCAACACTACTCGACCTCCAACACTACTCGTCCTCCAACACTGCTCAACCTCCAACACACTCAACCTCCAACACTGCTCGACCTCCAACACTACTCGTCCTCCAACACTACTCGTCCTCCAACACTACTCGTCCTCCAACACTACTCAATCTCCAACACTGCTCGACCCTCCAACATTCCTTATCCATAGCATCAGTTTTAGCGAAGTTCAGGTCCGTCATTGTAGTCATCGCCAACACGAACACTTACCAACGCCAACACGAGCACTAATCAACGCCTGACATATCCCCCCCTGCCCCCTCCACCCTTCAGTAACACCGTGGAATAAGGCGTGACAAAACATGACAGCTACCAGACCCGTATCATTAAAACATCACCAATACCTATAATTATCGCCAGACCCCTTCCCCCCTTTCACACCACTTTGATTATTAACTACACCAGACGAACTATCACCAGCAAGGAATTAGAGTACAGTATATAACTAGCTTGTTGAAGGTGTGTGGAGTAATTATTTCTGTCAATTGTTGTATTCTGCCGCCTTTGCCATGGGGTTAGGTTATGTTGGGTTAGGTTAGATTGGGTTAGGTTATGTTGGGTTAGGTTATATTGGGTTAGGTTATGTTGGGTTAGGTTATGTTGGGTTAGGTTAGATTAAACTACTGTAGATTAGATTACACGAAATTTTATCAACACCGAAGCACATTTTTACTCCAATTGATCTACATACAGTTCACATAAGAGAGAGACAAAACTACGTGACCATTCATTCAGGCATACACGACCCTGATATAGTTTAATTACTGGATCATTCTCACAGTAAAGGGAAAGCTGTGTTGAGTGTTTATCAGCGAGGGTGTTATATGACCACCTGGGGACAATAATCTCGGGTTTATAGTGTGACTGTGGAACGTGGATGACCCAGTGACCTACATGTATGTATTGATCAATGACCTGGTGAGGATAGAGGGATGGGGGTGATGTACAGATCGCCTCTTGTATGCTTATAGTCTGGTGTGTCAATTATAAGAGTGTATTTTTGTAGGGAAGAAAGAGATGCCATATAGTCTTGGGTGT